CCAACACTTTGCAAAGAATATCCCACAGTGCAGGCCTGACACAGTATAGACAAAGCACTTTTTGGTAGAGCATCTTTGAAGCCTGATCAAGCAACTTGGATCCAATTGCTGCTTCCACTCCTTCACAGCAGCAGAGCCCTCAGTTATAATCCCACTACCTACACAGCAGAGTGACGGATGCAAGGGACATTGTGTCCTATGGAGATGGCAGCCCATGGTTACTCCAGCCCTCTCCCTAGACTTTAAGGACAATAGGAACTGCCACTCAGCCAGTTCACAGTTCTGACCTCTTTGTATCTCCCTCCTCTGGATTCCTGTAAGAAATCTGTGCCTCCCTCCTAGCACATATCTAAGTGTATTGTTGTATTTTTGAGTCTTTCCATCAGTTCAGCCTTCTCGGTGGAATCCACCAGCTTTGCTTTCAGCTCTGCAGCTTAGTTTGGCAGTGAACTATGGAGATTTTTGCTCCAGTATAAGCCTTCCACCTTCTGAGCTCTGAGCACTGTTAGTTCCTGTTTTCAGTTAGTTCCTAGTTTTCAGGCAACATTTCTCACCTTCGATTTCCTCCAGCTGACATGCAAGGAGTATGCATGCACAGGAACACTATATAAATCAGAAAGATAAAATGAGTTTTTTCCAGGCCTGAAGGAGCAGCGAAAAGTCACACAGATCAAGGAAGAAGCCCACTACAGTCTTTATAGAGATGTCATCTCTCCTCCTCATTCCACTTTGACCCACCCTTTCTGAATCCCGCCCAACTAGTAGGGATGCACAGACACATATTTGTTACCTTGCAAATTCCAATTCTGCAGAAATATTTTTCATCTCCACTTCTCCTATCCTCCTGCCCCATTATGTCTTCCTGATACTTAAGGTCATGCTGAATAGGACTCTGAGGGTGAAACCACTACTATGTTCTCATCCCTCTCCAGCACTGCTGCTTTTATGGCCAACTTGGGCTCACTGGCAGAAAAAAAAGGAGGAAGAAGAGGGTGAAAGCAAGCACCTCCCATTCACAACACAGCTGACCTTGTATCTCAGTAGCTGCAGCTGTAGCAAACTAACAAGCTCTTGACTGTGGGGATCAGTCCTGCTCATGGTCAGGTGCTTGCTGCCCAGCACAACGCGTTGCCACTGATGAAAACTCATGGTAGCAGTCTTTTGTGCCATGCTATTCCTCACGCTCCCTCTCTTACCTTACAATCAGTGGTGGTAGGTGGATGGTTGGACTAAATGACCTTGGAGGTCTTTTCCAGCCTTTACAATTCTGTGGTGACAGCAGAAGGTATGGGGAGCCAAGGAGGAGAACAGGAAGAAGTAGAAGTGGGTGTAATAGGTGTATTGGAAGAGGTGAACACAGATGGATTGCAAAGATACTGATGGAACTTCTTGGAGGTGCTCTGGGGAGCTCGTCTGGAAAAAGCAGTTCAGTATGGCAGAGATGCATGGGGCCCAAGTGAGAGCTGATGTGTGAGGAACAGGAGCAGCAGGAGGCAGCTTTGAGAAATACACTTCTGAGTCAGCTAGTGATGAGCAGAACTATTATCAAACACCTCATCCTTTCTCTGACACCCACCCAGCAGCCTCAGCACAGCTCCGATGCGAGCCCTGCTTGGGCAACCGGTGTGCAGGGAGAAGGGACAGTGTTGGACACAGTGCGGCAGCCCCTCTGGTGTCGCCCGGGCAGGGGTGGGCTGGGGGTGCCACCGTGTGGGGGAAGCCCGCATTGCTCGCCCTGCTCCATTCGTAGACAGAATTCTCTGACTCTGGCCGTGGGAAGATGGTCAGCTGCCGTCCAGGACTGACCATGGGGCTGGAGAGCTGCGAGCATCAGTAAAACATCGGCACACTTTTCCTCAGGCTCCAAATTCACACTGCAGGACACTGATGCAGGAGACAACATCAAGGGAAGAAATGAATTTTAATGAAGGCTGTTGTGGAAAACAGCAGCCCTCAGCATGTCAGCTGCACCTTGAGAAACCAAAACTTTGCCAAGAGGCAAAGTAAGACAACCAAGCCCCTTGGGGCTGAGCAGGTTCCACCAGAATCATAGAATCATTTGAGTTGGAAGAGATCCTAAAAGGTCATCTAGTCCAAATCCCTCACAATAAACTGGGCTTAATCAGGTGCTTGGAGCTCCATCCATCCTGACCATGAATGCCTTCAGGGATGGGGCACCCACCACCTCTCTGTGCAACCTGTGCCAATTCCTGTGCAACTGCCCAGGGAGTCACTGCCCCTGGAGGTGTAAAAGAAAGATGTAGATGTGGCACTTAGGGATGCGTTTTAGTGGGCAGTGTTGGTGGTAGGTGCACAGCTGGACTAGATGATCTCAGAAGGCTTTTCCAACCATAATGATTCCATGATTCCAATAAAGTTAAGGTCCATCAAAGTCACTTTCAGTAGATCACAGGCACATGAATTCATTTCCAGATAAACTTCTCTTTGATAGGGAAATGTTGTATCAGAATTAAAAAGATAAATAACCACATTTTGTCTAAACATATTTTAATTTGCTTATTTCTTAAAGTCAGAGTTCATGTCGCTGCAAAGTACGAAGTCAGAATGTGATTTTCAGTTCAATGCCACTTTATCTGTACATAGCAGATGTTAGACTCCAAATCCTAAGGATCTGTTGTTTCATGCATACTCTGTATGAAAGGACTTAGCATCTTTGTAAGGAAGCAGAAATCCACTACTGCTTACTGACTGCCATTATGGGTTCCCCCCCCACATTTACATGGTGGACATAAAAGATTCTCAGAGGTAGATCAAAGCAGGTGATATATATAAGCCCAAAATTGCCATCTTAATTCCATAGAGCAGACAAGGAGAGGAGCACGTGTTGGGAATGAGAAGCAGCACTCTACAAGAACTCGGTCAATTTGTCTGCTCAGCGATCGGGGCAACGGCAGGGCTGCAGCCCGGACGAGGGGCGCTTGGTCCAGCCTGCCCTGTTAACCTCCGCTCCGCAAGGCGGCGCTCTGCACAGGGCTGGCGCAGCCGCCGCCACTTCCGCCCATATCCGCCTCGCACCGGAAGCGGGCGTGCTTTCCTTTAGGAGCGCGGCGGTGGTGATCGCGTGGCGCCACCGCTTTCCGCCGCCGTCTGCGGGCCGTCCCCTACGCGGCACGGGCACGTGAGAGCCAGCCCGGCGGGACCCTGGGCAGAGGTTTGGTTCCTCACAGCGGTTGTTTCCCGCGGGCAGCACAGCGGGTAGCACAGGCGCTTTTGTCCGTGAGACGAGCGGGACGGCCGGGCTGTGCGCTGCGCCTCTGTCCAAGGTGCTGCCGCGCCGCCGTGCGCCTTGTGGGACGGCGGCAGGACGGGTCAGCTTCACTCCTCGCGGGGCTCCGGTGTGCGAGGGCTGGAGCATAAGAACAAAATTGCGATGAAGCTGCTGTTTGTTTGCTTGTGTTTGGTGTTTATTTGGCCGTGGTCTTCGTGTCTGGGAGATAACCCCTGTGCAAAAAGGCTGCGGCAGGACAGGGGTGTGCAAGCAAGAAAATAAGGTCTGTGCTCAAAAGGCATGCCTGCACGCAATTGATCTAGAAAATCTTTGTCTCTTGAACTTTGAACACATAGTTTATGAAGGGAAGAAATAAATCTTTGCTTACCTCTGAGTGATTTGGAGGCTCTCCATCCAGTCCAGCATGCACACAGCATGTGTGTAATGCCGTCAAGTTGGCTGCCTCAAGGGCGTGTTAAATAGAAATGCTGTAAGTGATCTAGCAAGACAAAGAAAATATTTCACCTCTTAGGGAAAAAAAAGAGCTTAAGAAGGCAAAATGAGTCCTGTTCAGAAGCATGCTAGCATGCAGTTTGTCAAACAAACACTCCCACATTAGGAATATGGTGTGTAACTGTTCTGATTCTCTATGAAAATGAATATCACCATAGTTTCAAGTTGAAATAAATTGGTGTTGGACTCCTCGAGTTGTGACAACCACTTCAAGTTCTGCAAGCAATATCAAACTATATACATTGGGACTACTGCAGATCATTACATTTACCTGAAATTCTGGAAGTTAATCCAGAAATCATAAACAAAACCACAGTGGAGGTGATCAGGACTGTTCTCTGTCAAGACACTCTTGGGTGGGAATGTTCCTGAAGCACCAACACATCACTGCTCTCACTGAGTCCTAAGAAAAATAAAACCTGCTTTTGCTCCGGGTTTGGAAAAAGCTGAAAAATAACAAAATCATTGTTATTGCTGTTGGGGGGGAGGGGGACAATTTCTTATGAATATGGACATAGGAAATGTCAACTTTGCACTGGAAGGTGACCATTAGGGTGCAAGGTTTGTGTGGGTTCATAAACCTTCCAGTGTGGGGATGTTGTTCAGATGCGTGGCAGGCAGCAGCTCTACCCAAAATGATCCATTATAGAGCAGAAGGTCTTTTTCCTGTCGGACATAAATAAAAAAAAATCTTCTCAAACGAATCAACTTGTTAGTGCACCAAGTGAGTAACTGCCACGTGCCGCATACAGAGAGTTTGGAGGCCTCTCGGTTCTTTGCTTAGAGGAAAGATGCTGTCATGCTCTTCCCCTCGCTGCCACAGGGTTGTGCCATTGCATTGTCTGCGTCCCGGCTCCAAGAACTTCTGCCTTGGCCGTTTCACGGGGCTTTCCCTGCCCTGGGGATGGGATTCGTGGCGACCCGGAGCACAGCAGAGCTGTAGCTTGGATGTTTAAGGCTCCCTCCCACCCCCTGGACTCCAAAAGCATGGTGCAGAGCTTGCTGGGTTAGGATCCAGCTCCAGAGCTGGGTCCCAAAAGCATGAGGCCTCTCTCTGCACTATGGGAACGCAGACAGAAGGATGCACATGGGATGTGGTTATCGGGGCACCTGTAGCAAAGCGATGGAAATGGTGATCTAAATGGGTTTTCCTTTTTTTTCCTCATGAACAAACATGTCAGTGGGCTGGTGTCCAACCCTTTGACATTGAGTGAAGAGGAATTGTTTTGAGCTGCATATACATAGGTCACTCCAAAAGTATCTAAAGGTACTTCTCATGTATTTTCATGGAAACTGCAACTGATAAACTGAGCACAAAAGCAATATTTGATAGATAAAATTACCAGCTAGAAAGCATTCTTTTTCATCATAGTTACCACCATTAGCTATGCTTTTTTACCAGTAATGAACAAAAGCCTGCATGCCCTGCTTGTCAAAATGTACACCAGTGGAGGTGACCCACTGCACTGTCACAATGCACCACCCACCTCCTTACTGTGCTCACATACACTGATTGGTCTCCACAAACGTTTACCAGGTGCTGAATGTCAATAGTTACCATTTTTTCCACATCTTTGGTCCTATGCCCTTCCGTGTCAGACACCATTTGGTCACACTGCCCTCTCCTGCCATCTGTCACACAGCAACATGTAACAGAATACTGGTGGGAAGGTTCAGCTTCTACTGCTATCCTACAAACATCTGCCTCTAACATCACAGGCCAACATCATAAAATAGGTGGCATTGTTGTCAGAGTAAGTAAATAATACAGCTACTGTATATAAGTAACAAAATTTACTTTTTAAAAATTAAAAATTAAAACATCTTTTAAAAAAGTGAGCAATAAAACCACAAAATTAGTGGGATATATGACCTTGTTTTTGTGAAACTGATGCATCAGGTTGCTTCAGTGGCAGTGGTTGCAATTCTTAGTGAGTTCTCAAAGTGTTCATCAGAGATTAAATCTTACTCTTCCCATGCAAGGAAGTTTTTGACTCTTCTTGACAATATTCTTTCACAAATGTGTGTATCACCAAGCAGTAACATAAAAAAGACATGACTGTGAACTGAGGAGTATTTCTCTCTGGTAAGAAAAGGCTTCTGAAAATCTGGTTAAGAGACATGATCAGATTTTTAAGTTGAATGTCTGATCACAACTCAACGCACTGCATTTAAAAATTCACAGCTAATGAATTCATGTCGACTGAAACTGGAGTTTCAAACGTAAGTTGATAAATTTTTTTGCAATCTTGAAGCCTATTCTCAAATTTCTTTTTCAAAACTGAAGGCAAATCTGCATATTTTTCACTGTTCACAGAACCATCCTTAGCCAGTGTAACAGAAGGCACACAGTTATTTGGCATAACTTGTGTCAGCACTGCACGGCGCCCTCGCCTTGTCCTGGCATCAGCCCACAGTGCCCACTGCACACTGATAAGCAGTGGGACAAGGTGGGACAAGGCTGGCTCAGTGGAATGGAAATCAACTCAGGGCACTTGAGGTCTGGAATGCTTTAAAAGCCGTATAAAGACTTGAGGCCTGAGAGCACAGCAGCGACAGCTATAAGGCACCATATAAGGAGACAGCAAGAAAGCAGTTCAGGAAGTGGAAATTCTCAGAAGCTGTGCTAAAAGCAAAACAGACAGGAATCTTCTGCAGCCAGAAGGTATTGGCTGGGCCAGTACTGCTCTTATCTGACAAATAGTAGCAATACATCACAGCTGGGACAGTTGAACAGAACTTCTCAGAACTGTCCACAGCTAAGTCTGGAATGTGTAACTTTTTTTTTTTTTTTTTTTTGACATTTTGGCTGAATTTTTGCCCCAAACTCTGCTGGAAAACAGACAGAGCTTGCGGTGCCTTACATCCTTTTTTTTAGCCTGGCTCCTGTGTGATGTCATCTCCAGGATGGCGAAGGGAATGTTTGCTCTCCTTGTCTTGGTTCTGTTCACGTTCTTCTTCTTTCCCCTGCAAAAACATGGGGGTGAGCCTTTGGTGTCCATAATCCCCTTCCGTGGGCCATAATCCCATTTGGTGTGCTGTAATCCCTTTTGGTGGACCATAATCCCCTTAAAATAGGTGGTAATCCCCTTTGGGGGCCATAATCCCTTTTGGTGCGCCCTAATCCCCCATGGCACTGAGATCCCTTCCCAAGGTGGGACAGGGCTGCCTCATGACAACTGCAGGTCAGGGAAGGGTTCCCAGATCCCAGAGTCCCCTGCTATCTCCAAAACGTAGAGGCAGGATCTGAGGCCTGGTGTTAGGTTTTGAAGGGTGCAGCATGAGGGCATGCAGATGTAATGGCGATGCTGTGGATCTGTGGTTTCCCTCACTCACAACTCCGTGTTCTGGAGGAGAAGAGCATGTTGTACCCAAACTGACACGCACGTTTGCATGAGAGCTCCTCGCAACATGCCCATGGGAACAATTACACTATGGCCAGAACAGGCTTATGGTGTCTTCCCCCACGGTAGTGACCAAGTCTGTGTCACCCTGCAGGAAGGCAGGTGGGTGCTTTCTGCTTAGCACTGCATGTTCCTCATTAAATAATGAGGATTTCTGAAAGCAACAGCAGGGGAAAGAGACACTGAGGTGGGCAGTCAATTACTTGGGTGCTTGTGGTCTGTTTGCTGGCATCCGTCTTCTTCTTGTAATCTGGAAATGAAGGAGAGGGCATCAGCTGCTCAGTTTCCAACACTGTGTGTGCTTCATGGGGCATGGGAAGGAAATGGGGCTGCAGGGTGTAGTGGGTTTGAGAGGCTTTCGCTTGGCAGAACCCCTCAATTTTCAGAAACACAAGATTTCTGCTTCAGATGGAGAGCAAGAAGGCAGCACAGAAATGGACATCCACCTGGCCTGCAAGCCCTGCACCTTTAACATGCCACCCATTGGCTTTATGCTGTGCAATATTTCCTCTGTTCTGGACTCCGAAATGCTCTGCATACCTTTGGAAAGTGTGGGATTCCCTTTTCTACAGAAGCTGATGCCAGAGTGTGAGAGCTGAGCCTAGGATCTTTGTGACCAAGCAGCTATTTAGGAAGAGAACCATTGGGTACTTACAGAAGAGGGAGAACAGCAGGAGAGCTGCCAGGACAGCAAGGACGCAGCTGGCAATCACACTGACAGGTTCTGAGCAGCCACGCTCTGCCAGGGAGATAGTGAGAAGTGTCAGTGTTCTCTCTTCCATCCCACTTAACCAGCTCCAGAGCTGGAATGTCCAGATGCGGGTGGAGAAGAGCATCCTTACATTACACACATTTGAGCTCCAGGGGCAAACCTTGCCCTGCTGTTCTTTCCCTGCTCAGCACATGGCTTGCCTTGGCAACAATGAGTGCAGATCCCCTTCCTGAAGCACCAGCCTGCAAAGCCACCCATGGAGTCCCACTGCCCAGCCCCACAGACACCCCAGCCCTCCTCCACGAAGAAGGCAAGCAAGGGCACATGCAGTGAAAACCCAATTAGCCCTTACCATGGACCTGCTGGAAGTTGTGGAGCAAGAGGCAGGAGAATGACAAGTTGACTGCCAGTGTCATGGCTGTACTGCACAGGATGACATGATGGCCTGGAAGAGGAGAATTTCTGATGAGTGGGAGGGCAATGGTGAAGAGGAATTGGTACAGGGAGGAGATAGGCATCAGTGGGATGCAGGGCATGGGCCCCACAGCAGCATTCATCCCTCCTGTAGTGATAACCTCAGAGGCTGCTCCTGGGCTCTTATGGGGCTTTTATCACCGGGGGTTTGTGTCTCCACCCGCAACTCACAGGTCTGGGCTGGGCACTGGGGGAGTGCTTCTGGTCTGCACTGAGAGATCATGGTGATCAGCACCACAGTCATGACTGCAGCAAGGAAGCAAAGCCCATGTAGGATGAAGGCAGCAGAAGGACCTGTGGGAAAAAGAATTAAACAAAGAATTGGGATGGGAAAGCTTCTCCTGGTTGAGGCTGAGCAGTGAACCTCAACACCGATTTCTACCAGTCAGCTACCAGGACATCAGACAAGGATGCACAGCTTCAGCGAATCTTACCTTCTTCCTGCATCCAGATGACAGAGGTGACAAACAGGAGAAGACAAGAGATGCCCAGCAGCCCCTTGATGGGTAGAGTTAGCCATGTCCGTGCTTCTTTTCCTGTTAAAAGAGGCAATCAGACTTGAATTGGAGCTCAGGACCTCACCACTGAGGTGCAGCCTGTGAAGGAAAATGGATGCAAGCACAGATTTTCTTTGGAAAGAATCGAATCCCCAAGGTTTTGAACCCCTGATGACAAAACCTGGTGGGCTTCAAAGGGTTTTGATGGGCTTACAAAAGCTTTGCTTTACCTCTGGAGAGACAGGGAGATTCCAGCCAGGTCTGGGGTTGCTCCAAGCTGAACAAAACAGCAGTCTGGTTTGGCACCTTAATACACTTCTGCCCAGGTTTTTGCCTCTTACAGTGGCAAGCACTGGATTTCTTCTGGAGATCCAGCTTACAAAGAACTCAGGTGGCACAAGCTCTCACCACAAGCATTGGGCACATAGAGCTCCTCAGGAAAGATTACCCCCAAAACAGGGCCTACCTAATTCACAACTCCATTGTTAATACAGGGAGACAGGTTAGTCTAGGACAATATTCCCATGTATGGTTGGGCTTCACCTCTGTTCCTCAGTCGGTCTCTCTTATACTGGGGATTGTTCTTGATGGGTAGAAGATAGAAGAAGACTACAAAGACTGTGGGTGGTCTTTCTTTTGGCTAGGTCTTATGGTTTGCTTTCTGATAACCAAAACATTGATTGCCATTGAAGCGCCCGCATTAACCTGTAGGCTTAGGTATGGATGCACAGCATTATGCAGAGTGCTGACCCAAATGCCATTGAGCTTGGTCACCAAAACCAGTGCCACATGGTATTGGGTCAGCTCTCAGCACCTTCATGCAGGAAAGCTCTTTGTGTCCTGCCTGTTCTGTTTCAGCCCAGGGATGCCCAGGAAACAGCAGAGGAAAGACTAGCATGCTTCCTACCATGATACCATGGCATGCATTGCATACATAACATAGGTAGAATGATTTCTCCCAAAGCCACGTGGGATTAACTGCTGCTAGGACTCTATATTTCTGTGCAATATACAGAAGCATAACAAGAAGTATATGAACTCCATGACCACTGAGCAAGAGTCCTCCAACTAACAAAGTGAGTTAGTAGAGAAAGGCTTTACTGCACCCTCTGTCCTCTTCATGGCATGGAGAGAGGGCTCAGTCTGGGGATTTGAGTATGGGCACTCACCAAGTCTGTGCTTCCCCGGCTGCAGGAGCCAGATGACAAAGCCGATGGCAGTGATGACAGTGAGAGCCAGTGCAGCCACTGTCGTCCTCAGTGCAACTTGGAGAGGAGGCGAGAGACCTGCAAAGTGAAGTGAGGGGAACTAACACTGAGGACAACTCCGAGACATGCAGCAAAGCAGTGGCCCCACCACAGGCTGATGCTTACCTGCCATCATGAGGTTGAAGGTTGCCTCTTCCCAGCTTACGGCATTGCTGACGTTGCAGGAGTAGGAGCCGCAGTTCGACTTGTCTCCCTTCCTTATCCACAACTCAGTGGAGTTCTGAGTGAGCTGATAATAATTTTGTGGGGTAAGGGAATGTCCATCCTTCTTCCAAGAGACAGCAGCCACGGTTCCATTGGGCAGCAGGCAGATCAGCTTGATGAGAGAGCTGTTCAGGTTTGAGCTCTTCAGGAGTTTGGGCTGGGGTACAGGCTCTGGAAAACAGTGACATGGCAGAACTCCTTTAATTGCCTCTGTAAGAGGCATTTTTGACTAATGGTAACAATCAGGCCCCCTGGTCCTTTACCAGAGGGCTGCCTAGTGGGCAGGCAGTCCGAACCCAGTAGAAAAAGGAGACCCTCTTGCCACTACTGGGAAGGTTGACCAATTAGCAGAAAGTGTTCAAAAAGGCTGCTTGTCTTCACATGATCTATGATGGAAAGCTTCAGCCGCACCACAAACTACCCACTATGATGCCCATCGATCCCAAGATGACCCCCTTATAATTAGGGGGCGTCCAGAACCATTGAAACCTGCAGGCATGTACAACTGCAGGGGTAAATACAGATTATGTCTCAAGGAGAAACAATCCAGGCAGCATCAGAAGGAACTGTAATCCCTAACTGTCAACTGCTGGAATACAAACTGTGGACATAGTGGGTGGAAGTTGCCCAGTACTTAATGAACTACAGGTGAAAATACCGACCGTGACTGAATGCAGTAAGGCAGTTGATTTTAATCATTTATATTTTAATGACTATCTTTGTAATATTCAGAAGTTTAGGCTGGGTTTGTAGAGCAAAATGTCAATTTTGCTCTTTTGGTGTACTGTCACAACCCCCAGAACAATCCGTTGTCCCCTTCAAGACTCTGGGGATTAAGAGAATGGCATAAAGAACTCTTTTAGCCAACTGGCTGAGCAAGCAGCAAACATTTTTAACCTCACCAACTGCTGGGTCTGTAGAGGACCCACACAACTTGAAACCTAGTCCTGGGTTTCACTCCTATTGCCCTCAAGTGGTTGGCAAGTAACTACAGCAGAACTGATTGCAGCATCCATTGGGAAGAACACATCTTCATGGCCAATCCAATATCCCACCAGGGTTATTTACTGTCTGAATCAAACTCAGCCAGGTGGCATCTAGGTTGCACTTGGGTTTATCATAAAATGGGTTATGAGATAGGAAAGCACACTAACTATGAATGGAGGTGGTATAATGATTTGGGAACCGAGGATGGATTTCCTTATTCTTGGTCCTCCATAAACAGCACACTGTTTTCCAAAACTGGAGGTATGAATTCACCTGCAAACCCCATGCTGGAGCTCGGAGTTGTGAGTGGTGCAGGGATGAAAGTGATGCTGGTAAAGTCTGGAACTCTAATGTGGCAGGACCTCTGAACAACACATACTTCCAAGCTAAAGAACATGTAAATAATCCTGCTGTGGAATGGGTATTTGAAAATACTCAGCAGCACTGAAGGGACACAAGTGGATTTGTGCCCATTATGCTGAAAGGCAACTACCTGCAAATTGGCCTGGATATGTTATGTGGGAACAATTCCCCCAGTATTCTTTTTGGTCCTGGGGGAGATGGTGGTGAATTAGGTGTCAAAGCATACAGTGTTCTCAGATGATGACAGTCCATTGACCATCTCCACAAGTGGTAGCAGCCAAACTTGGACTAAGGACAACCAGCTGCCTCACAGCGTATAATCAAACACCACAGCCCAGCTTCCCAGAACTCCAATGAATGGTCAGTGGTGCTCAAGAACCCATTTATAACCTGAACTGCATTCTCAGATTAAAAACCATCCTTGAAATTATTACTACTGAAACGGCTCAAGCCCTGGATCTCCTGGCAGATCAAGCCACACAGATGCGAGCAGCAATATTCCAGCACTGCACAGCTCTCAACTACTTACCAGCCAAAGAAGGGAGTGTCTATGGCAAACCTGAGTGACTCTAATTCTTATCTAAAGACTGACAACAATGGTAATGTTGTCAAGCAAATTGCTAAAGGTGTACAGCAAACAGAAAAACATAGATTTTGATCTCTTTGCTTTGCTTCCAGAGGGCCCATAGGTAAAACATGTTCCATTTTATCTACTTTGTGCTGTTGTAGCTCTGAAGTCCATTCCTTGTATGAGCCTTACTCAACACATTTTACCTTCTATGTATTTTGTAACCTCTTCAACTGATGGGGAATCCAACAGATCAAGGCAACATTTGTCACCAAACCCAGGAAATCTTTTCTAGAGATTGTACAGAACATTTTATTCTCTCCCTCACCCTTCCTTTGCCCATACACTTTTTTCATTCATCAGATAGCCAGGAGAATCAGCCCCTGCTTTACATAAAAGTCTCGCTCTTTTCCTATCACCCACCTTCCCTTCCCCATCATCTCATCTGTAATAATCACTAGTCTTTCCCTTCCCCATCACTTTAAACTGATAATAAACTGGTTGGACAACATTTGACTTTTCTTGTGTCTCAGTCTTACTCCAGGTATATCAAAGAATTTCCCCTCTTTATCTGGCAGTTGGAGTGAGACTGCCACTCGTCCCTCCTTAAAGCCAGCCCTGGTTGAGATGCAAGAACTGTGAGCCCCGTGGGGAGAACAGCACCTTCCCACTTTGCAACTCAGCCTTGGTTCAGCTCAGAGAGGCAGAAGATACTGCAGGAGCAAGGCAGTAACTACTGAGTTCAACAGCTGCTGCCATCAAGCCACTGTGCCAACTCAAGGATGGCTAGTACTGACTCTTGGAGGACAGACATGGCACCCCTGGGACAAGGATAGCAGCCTAAAGGGGGTACCAGGTAGTGCATCTCTGGGAAGTGATGACAGGGACTTTCTGTATGCTTTCTTCCAAGAAGAAAGGGATGCTCACACATAGCAGTGGTGTGGGGAAGCATGGGGCATAAGAGAAGACATCACATTTAGCCAGAAAGCAGCCTGCCCTACTGGAAGTTGTCTCTGCCACAGCAGGTTTTGGAACTGCATGGTCTTTAAGGTCCTTTCCAACCCTAGCCATGCTTTGAGCTTATGATTCTAAGGTCAGAGGGCATTTTAGGACATTCACCTCCTGCTAATTCAGCTGCTAATGATGAAACAAGGAGGTCCATGTTAAGGAAGAGGGTGCCTGGCTCTTGTCCATGTCTTTCTAAGCAGTGATAAAGCCAGAAAAATGCATCTCATCTGCCGTACTCATGGCAAATCTTTGTCAGAGCAAGATGTCCTTTCAACCTATTTTGACTTACTGATTACTTCCAGGATAGTTGTCCTAGCCCTGTCCTGCATCAGGTCAACTGTTGCTTTATAGAGGCCACTGTCTGCCTCCCGCAGCTGCTGCAGGAGAATTGAGCCATTTGTTTGGTAGAAAACCACTCTGTCTCTGTATGCTGTGTAAACGACTGCAGACTGTGAGTTGGCGTAGTACTGCAAGATGAACTTGGGTGTGTTGCCCTCTATGTATTCCCACTCTGTGATGTTCGTATTGCTGATTGCTGGTGCATGCATCATCACAGAGGATCCTTCTGCTGCAAGTTTTCTTTCTATGATTTCCACCCCAAGGCAGGATCCCAGGAAAAGCAGCAACACGTCTGGAAACAAGAGAGATGCCAGAGCACGGTGAGTTAATTTAAAAGAAAATCCACAGTACAACTTAATTGGCTTATAGACTCTTTGATTTCTTGGCCCCCATTATGCCACATCTGATCTACTTCCCCATTTTAAGATAAGAGCACATCACTTTTGTAGAACTGTTATGTAAATGGCTCCTAGCAAGCTCAAGCAGCTCTTTGCCTTTGGAAGGAGAATAACAGGACTCTGTACTCCTTGAGAGTAACATGATGAAAGCGCCACAATGACAGCAGAGCAGCAAGATCCTAGGCTGCAATGAGCGAGAATTTGATCAAATGTAGCAGCCATGAGCACAGAAATAAAGGAAATAAGCTGCTTACCCTTAGAAGAATTCAGGTAGGCAGGGATCTCCAACAAGATACCATCACATCCACTGCCAACCCTTAAATGAGGTCTTGGAAGGTGTGGATCCTGGCTCCACCCCTTCCAGTCACTCAGGCACACTGCATGCATCTGAGCTCCCCTGGGTTGGCCCTGCCTTCCCACCAGGTGCTCAATCACTGGTTCAGGCTTGTGACTTAGCATTTTTGCTATACTGGAGGTTACTGCTCAGTGAGACCACACTCAGCACAGCTTCACCCCCAGGCTTCATGCTGTCCCAGCAACAGGACCTAGTGGTACCCAGGCACAATGATATTGCAGCACTTGCTGAAATGCTCATTCCTTGACCAAGACAGAGGTGCAAGGGAGCATGAAAATGCTTCAGGACTTGCCCTCTACCTCCACAGCTGCCCACCAGCACCCAGCCCAAGGATATGCGCAGCTGAGTTCCTCTCTCATACTCACAGTGTGTGTTTGACATGGCCAAGACCTGCGGGTGCCTTCTGGCCTTCATTGGGTCTGAGCTCCTCCTGCAGCGATGTGCTCTTGGTGGGGCTCTCTAGGAATAGTGTTCCCTGCAATAAAACCTGCAAATGACACCATGCAAAGCACCATCAGCACCTCTCGCTGCTGGCAGATGGCACTGACACCAGCACAAGAGCCATGATACTGTTGCTGTCTTGTCTGCACCCCTTCCCATGCACTGCATATTTGCAATGCTGCAGCTCTACTTTGTCCCTTCAGTATTAATTTAAAGAGCTGCTGGCCATTATGATCATGTTCCCTGCATATACCGAAAGCACTTTTCCTCAGCCTGAACACATTCCCTTATCTCCTCAAGATGACTTAGCTCTCGAGTGGTTGCAGGCACTGCATCTGCCTTATCCATCTTCTTAATGACTTGGAAAACTTCAATCCCACTTCCATCCCAGCCACTTCTTTCCAAATTGAATGCTCCTGGCCTATTTGAGCTCTGCCTGGTAATTCTTTTAGCTTTTGCTCTCTGGACTTTCTGTATTTTTAGGTGACTTTCTTTACTCTAGAAACTCCAGTATGTACAATGCTGATCTGTTTTCACGGGAGATCTCAAGCACAATCTGCCTGTGCGCAATGCACTTTGCAATGAGGTGCAACCATGCTCATAGCTGCCTTCAGAGCCCAGAAACAAGCACTGGCATCTGGATAACAGGGACTGCATTTACTGCTGCAATTTGCAAAGCTTTGGAAGAAGGATGATGATGGAGGAGCTCAGATTTTCAACAAAGGGATTTCACTGCCCTGAAATTAAAGTCTCAGATGGGAGCATAAGAGGTGGTCTGCTTTAGGGACATGTTTAGGGACACAGTCTGGCTGGGTGTAAGGAGCTGGACACAATTTTTGGCTCAAAGCTTGTTCAACGGCACCCATCTAAAACATAACCTGCTTAACAAGTTTTTCTGGCCAATGTTACCATGAGCACAGCAGTAAGAGAATCATACATGACTGAGCAACCTGGAAAAACCTTTTGGGCTGTTGCTTCTCTTGGGCATTCAAGCTGACTTATGGGGGTCATCTCAGAGGAGAGGAGCACCATGCAGTCACTGCCCACGCCTAGCTGCCCACCATGCCACAGTCAGATGATCAACTGCCAATTACCCAACGGGAAGGGCATGTACCATGGACATGCTCTTTTATTGCCTTAATCTCCCTCCAGGAATATATATGTCAAACCATGCCCTCCAACAGTTGAATTGAGACAGTGGGAAAAGAAGCTCTGATGCACAGATGAGGCCCTGTGCTGAAAGCTGAGCCCACTTCAGATAGTCATTACCTCCTGGCAACATCCATTTGTCTTCCATGGGCCCCAGCATAGTTCAGAGAAGCATCTGAAGGAAAGGAAGAAAAAAAATATTTCAATTATGGAGCTGCCCTGGACCATTCTGAGCCCATTCCCAACCCAGCATCCTAACCCCAAAAGTAGCCAAAAGCCAAGGAGAGGAGGATATAGGCAGGGAACATCATATTCAAGCCTGTGATGGAGACTTCCAGTCCTGGCATTCCTCACCACAGAAGGGCTGATGGCTGCTCTCTGGCTTCTGCCCTGATCAAAGGACTTCAGGAAATGAGCTTTTAGAAGAAATCACGTGAACTTCCGTGCACTGCATTATCTGAGGCTGCAGAGCCCTGCTGGCAAGGCTTGTATGTGAATGCACACACTCAGGGCTGCTGGTGGAGCTTCATGGGCTCAAAGAATATCTTTGAAGTGGAGCAAGAGTAGGAAATGAGGGCTGCTTTCCCCCTGCAAAATGCGTGTGACCTTGGAGGACATTATGGGACAAAGGGCAGTGGGAATGCTAATGCAAAATTCAGCCACTTTCCAGTCTTTTCTTCGGCATCCTCATGATATCTGAGGTTTAGGCAAGAAACAGTTGAGGCTTTTAAGAGGGAAACAAGAAAAATATTCTTTACTGGTATAAACTGCTATTTGAAGGATGTGGGAGCAAGGGCTGTGGAGGAGGCACCATTTAGAGATGAAGGATTTCCAGCTGGCACACCCTATTTCCCAAAGTGGGCATCTGGGTCCTAGAGTCCGTCCCAGCTCTCCCTATGCACCCAGGAAAGGGCTGAGGTTCCCCCAGTAAAGAACAAGGCAAGTCTGCAAGAAAGGCTCCCCTGGAGGAAGGATGGTGGTTGGAGGACCTTCCTCCAGCTCAGATGAATTGCACAAAGCTGCAGCACTCAGAAAAGGAATTAAATGTTCCAGGCCACAGCCAGCATTGTCCAGGCACCCAGGCAGTATCGCTTCACTGAGAAGTAAGTTTGTAAGCAGGCATGTGATGAAGTTCCTCTGCAAACTGCTGCTGCAATTTATAAAACAGATCCGTCCTCCACCTCCTCCGGTTCCAATAGGGAGAAATAAATAAGGTCCCCCGGGGAAAGGAATTCATGTCAATATCAGTTTGTTATCTCAGTCTCTGAGGAGTTCTGTTGTCTGTGAGGAAGTCGGTGCCAGGAACTGAAAATCACCTCCTCCCATGAATGTTTGCTACAGCGTGGGATTGATAGCAAATGCTAAAACTTTCCATGGGGGCAGAGGTTGGAAGAACTTTTAGCTGAACATAGAGAGGGAGGACAGGCCCACAAAGAGCCTTTTGTTACAAGGCAGTGAGGCTCCCCAGACAGCAGCTGTCTACTGCTGCTCTTCCATATGGGCATGGGTTATACTGGGAGCTGGAACATGGGCAGGATCAAAGAATATAAAGCCCTGGGAGCACAAGCAGAAAACACTGGTGTGCTAATTATCTTCTCCATTTTGCCAGTTGGAGCATTAGCATGGATTCACCAAGGGGAAATCCTGCTTGACGAAAACAATAACCTGCTGTGATGTCATGACTGGCTGGGGAGGTGAGGGGAGATCAGTGGATGTTGTCTGCCTTGACTTCAGCAAAGCTTTTGTCCCCCACAACATCCTTGTAGGTAAGCTGAGGAAGCATGGGATAGATGGGCAGACAAGGTGGACTGAGAACTGGCTGACTGGCAGAGCTCTGTGTTGTGATCAGCAGTGCAGAGTCTAGCCTTTAACTACTGGAGTTCCCCAGGGGTTGGTATTGGGTCTACTCTTGCTTGACATCTTCATCAATGAACTGGATGAAGGTGTGTATCCCTAGCTGGTTTGCTGAAGATACAAAGCCAGGAGAAGTGGCTGGCACACCAGAAGGCTGTGCTGCCATTCAGTGAAACCCAGACAGGCTAAGAGCTGGGTGAAGGGGAACCTGATGAGGTCCAATGAGATCAAGAACTGAGTCCTACACCTGAGGAGGAATAACTGAATAGATCAGTACCAGTTCTGGGCTGACCTGCTGGAAAGGAACTCTGCATAGAAGGACCTGGGTGTCCTGGTAGCCAACAGCATGGCCATGAGCCAGCAGTGTGCTCTTGTGGCCGAGGAGGCCAATGATAACCTGCAGTGCATTAACGTGAGTGTGGCCAGTAGGACAAGGGCAGTGATCCTCCCTCTCTGCTCTGCCCTGGTAAGGCCACATCTGGAGCACTGTGTTCAGTTCTCGGCTCCTCAGTTCAAGAAAGACAGGGAACTTTTATATCCACTGGAGGACCACAAAGATGATGGGAGGCCTGGAGCATCTCCTATATGAGTAAAGGATCTGGGGCTGTTGAGCATGGAGAAGACTGAGAGGGGATCTTATCGAAGCTAAAAGTATCTAAAGGGCGGTGCTGTAGTTTAGCCCAGAATAGAAAGAAAAAGTAAAAAAAAGACGACTGAGCAGCAGCTGCTCAGTCAACTCCTCCTTATTTTTCACATATTTTCTTCACAATGTCATGTATTACGGAACACCCCTGCAGTAAGTTGAGGTCACTGACCTGGTCCCCTCCTCTCCCAGCTCCCTGCCTCCCCAGCCCTTCACTGGCAGCCAGAAACTGAAGACTGAAAAGGTCTTTGGCTGTGTGCAGCACTGCTCCACAGCAATAAAAACAACAGCCTGCTTTCAACACTGTTTTTATGCTAAAACTAAAACAGCAGCATAGCAGACACTATGAACCAAATCAACTCTGTCCCTGGCTGGCACTTTCCTGTCAAGTGCGTGGGGGGAACAAGCTCTTTTCAGTGGTGTGTAACAAGGGGGCAAGAACAAATGGCACAAACTGGAACTTGAATATGAGGAAAAAATTTTCAAAATGAAAGAGACAGAACATTGGGACAGGCTGCTCAAGAGAGGTGGTGGAGTCTCCTCTGCAGATCTTCACTACCACCCTGGATACTTTCCTGTGTAATCTGTAGGGAACCTGCTTGTGACCTCCAGAGGTTACTTACCAATTTTATGATCCTTATATGGGGCAGCATCAGCAGCCACACCAATAAACAGGAAAAGCACAGGCTTTGTAACAGGCAAACTTAATTAAGGAGGGGAGATCTCACAAATGATGCCTGTGCCCAAGGAGGGCAGGAAGAGAGTGAGACCCACAGAATTCCCTCCGACCCATTAATAACAGATTATTCCAAATCTCAAGCTGCACTTACACAGCAGTAAAGCCTTGATCACATTTTAGAGAAGGCCTGCTGACCACAAGAGGCCTCTGTCACATTTGCAGCTGACAGAAGTGGGGGCAGTGGGTGGGGGAAGCACACAGGAGGCAGAAGAGTGGCGTTCACGTGTGTGCCCACCACCAGAGCAACTAATTATGCCCTAATTACATGGCATCGCTGGATCCAAGGGTAGTGACATCTCTCTGTCTTTCTCTTTCTGTTTTCAAGTCCTACCATATCATTGTGGCTCACCACCAGTAAGGAATAGTTAGATCAATCTAAGTACTGTAGTGGGATATAAGTAAGCATCTAACAGACTGTTTGTTGCTGTTACACCTCGATTTACCCCAGGAGATCTCACAACTTGCCATGTCCATACCTTTGTACCTTTCCCAGGGTAGCTCAGAATCAGGTTGTGATGCACATCACACTGAAGCACTGTGCACACTCTGCCCCTGAGCTTACTGACTACTGACTGATCTTCAGTGGGAATAAATGCACGCAGAAGCACACTGGGAACAGATATGGATGGAGCTGATATACAGCAGGCAAATATTTCATCTCCTTCCTGTTTTGTAGCAGTGTGCTGCAGAAGCTATTATCTGCAGACTTCCCTAACGGAAAAAACACGAACCATTCAGCTTCAGAAGGTTAAATACATTAACAATCAGAAAGCTCAGCTGTGAGCAACTTCTCCCTCAGTCACTTTTGCCTTACTGAGCAAAAGAGCTTTCAAAAACAGTGAAAAAAAAATCAAAAACTGCTTCCTGGCAGTTACATAGTAGCAAAAAAACAAGTTTCACTGTCTGCACGTAGCAGGACAGCTGGGAGCTCAGCACAGCTGCTGCAGACCGCATCAACCGATTTTTGAGTGCTTCATTTTCTGCTCTAACAGAAGCGAGAGTAACTACAAAAGGGGTGGGAGGGAAATGAACCATCTAAAAAGGAGTTTTGCGCAAAACTGCAGCCCAAAGCCCAGCGATGAGCGCCTCTGTTTTAGGGAGCCTCACAGCTAGTGCTGGCGGTGTGGGAGATGCCAAGCAACAATCAGGGGTTGGGCCAGGCAGCTGGGGGAGTGCTGGGCGGGCAGTGAGAGGTTGTTTGTCAGCTCTAAAACACTTCAGAAGTGCTATTTCAGAAGCGGTATAGATTTGCTGTTTATAGGGCTGGACAAGAGGGAAGAGCTGAGCTAGAGGTGCAGAACCAGATACCCTACATGGGAGAACGGGAACACCATTTGGGAAGCATTACAGGGTCCCCCGTCCCCATAGCTTCAGCGCCACGGCTCCATCCCCTTCATTCCGCCCCTACCCCTTTTGCTCTGCCCCGTTTCCCCATTTCCCATCCCTCCGCCCCTCCCTGCCGGCACCCAGCCAGCTCAGGCCATACATGCACTCACCTCTTCTTGCAGCTCCCCTTAAAACTCCCCTGCTTTCACTGTGCCGTTACTGTTCAGTTTCCAAGGGCGGTGCTTTTTCCCACAGGCCAGCTCTCTGATAGTTTGCCTCCAATCGTAGCAGAGCGTTTTCATCAGCAGGCACAAAGACTTGCCTAGGGTTCCGCATAGCGGCTCGCTATGGCTTAACAAGAAAGTCTCAGTGCTGAAGCTGATGGTGAAAAATGGGGAAGTAGGTGGGCACTCGACCACCCTATGTATCACTGAGCATGCCCAGAGGGATATTAGCATATATTAAGGAGTCCTTGAGAAAGAATAAAGATATATGCCAACGTATTTCATATGTTTATCTTAACTGTGTAAGTGTAGAACCTGAGCGCTGACAGAGCACAGTTGTGCTCCTCAAGTCAGCTGGTACGTATCGTGAGGAATAAAGGAATGCCACTTTCTAACACCATCTTGGAGTTAAAGGGTTTTCTTCCTGGATTTCGGATGACAGCCTCTCCAGAGGATAAGACACTCTCAGTGGAAGGAATTGATGCAAAGACACTTAGCAGCAAAATTTTATTACCTTTAAGCAGGTATTTATTCTCACGGACAGCACTGTGGAAGTGCGGGGCAATCCTCCTATCATGCATACCTTACACAAAAGATATTCTGTTTATATACATAACTTCTGTTGTCTAAGCAGAAGTTTTCCCAGGAGCATGTTACATATTCAGTGATCCATTCCAAGCAGGACCCCCTATTTTCTTGGTACCCAGCCTCAGCAGAACTTCCTTATCTCCTTGATTCAGAGACACAGCTCTTTCTGTTACCTAGATAGATTGCAGGGCAGGGGTATCCATCAACAAACATTAGCAAGTTTGACTATGTTGTTATAACTTCTATCATGTTAAAACAGAACACTCTTAGGAGGTGCCTCCCCATTCTCAGTGCTACATCACAATTATCACCCATAGCATGTAAAGGTTACCATGGTGTTGCAGGCAAGCACTACTTGTATTATACAACAATTCAGCAGCTATGCTTGTAAGAATATATTAACAGAATATTTTGTGCTATTACTTCTTCTAATCAATGCTGGCAAAAGGTCTCTTCGAGGTCCCTGCTAGAGATCCTGAAAGCTGCTATGCCTGCTACCTTCTCTGTCCTTCTTTTCAACATTGCATTGGGCAGGCAACCAGCAGAGCAGCTTAGTCATGGGTAGCAGCACTGCATCCTGCTGGCACTATGTCCCAGGGCTCAGCATCTTCAGCAGTGCCACCACACTGGGATGGGTGGCACCAATGATGATACTGGCATCCAGGGTGGAACTAAGTGGGCTGAGGGACCTCGTGGGGCTCAGCAAAGGGAAATACAAAGAGCTGCCTCTAGGGAGGAACAGTGCCACAGTGAGGCACTCTGTGCTGGGACAAGCATCTCCCTCCATGGTCTGATCATTGCATCCCACAGCCTACCTCAGCTTGCTAGAATAAATCACTTTTTTTTTTCTTTTTTTTCTTTTTTTCTTTTTTTTTTTAAGCTTAATGGCATTGCAGAGAAACCAGTCTGCTAAGCAAAGACAAAAAGTCAATAGATAATTCCACGTACCCACAGTATCAGGGCAACAGGAAACCGTGACAGAAGGTGGGCAGATAGGCAAACATGGCCTATGCCCCTCAGAGGAGGTACTGCCATCTGTAACCAGTCAGAGTTTGCTGTTGCAGGGAGATCACTTCCCTTACAAAGGGCAGCAAAATCCCATCATGGCTTTGATTTGTGTTTGCTTCCCCCTGGGCCAGCCCCGAGGATCCCACATGCAGAACTGCGAGCACTCAACTACTGCTGCTTGGGGTGAACTGAAGGAGAGGATTTTAAAAGTTGCAGAAAGGAATGAATTCTTAACCCTCACCCCTGAAACAGATCCAGTCTCGTCCAGCAGAGAATACCCTCCCCACACTGCTGTGGAGGCAGGAAATCCCCTGTGCAAGCAACACTCATATCTTGGCCTACACACCACACCCCAAAACACCTCATCTTTTCCTTCCTGTGCAGAAAAACCCAGCAGAGAGCAGAGGAGCCATTGTCAACAGCCAGTGACAGGCACAGCGCTCCTACAGAGGGATTTGCATTTAAACAAATAGTTTTAAAGCACATGAAGGTCTCCACAGGCATGGATGCTGCCATTTGCATGGGTCTTCAGGAAGTGCACAGGGAGCAAACGTGCAAATCACCCTGATGTCATCTGCATGTGGAGAGGAAGCATCAAGCACGGCCTTGTGTGGCAGCAGGAAAAGGCTGGGGTGGACATGGCTGGTTACCTACACACACTCAGAAACATAGCCTCATTAATGCCATAAACTAGCAAGGGACACGCTTGTAACTAGTTTTAAAGGCATTTCTCTAACTCGGAGCCTGGTTTTAAAGTGGAAAATAAATGGAAAAACGTGCATTAGAAACCCCTAGTGCTGTGTTAAAGAAAAAGACAAAAATGATTAATTTCATCGCTTTATATCGCCAATATCATAGGCTCAGACCTATGAAACTGAGATCCATTAACATGTTGAGCCAGCCACACAGGAAACATCCCCAGTGTCTAGCAGGTTAAATCAGGATCCTTGCTGATGGGCAGGGACATCTCAAAGGACCTGGAAGGAAGAAATGTCTCACAGTGAGGGTGCTGTGTAATAGAAGTTGTAAGTGCTCCGTCACTGAAGGTGCTTAAAGTTAGGTTGGATGTGGCTTTGAGCAACCTGATCTGTTAATAGATGCGTTGGACCAAATGATCCTCAGGGTCCCTCCCAATGCAAACCATTCTGTGATTCCATGTGCTGACCATCAGAGGTGCCACAAGTGCAGCCCTGCCCCACGCCTGAGGCCCCAAACCTTGCACATCTCCAAACCCAGCAACACCCTATAGACAGCTGTGACGCTCCTTCCTCCAACTCAGGGTCGTTATAGCTGGGGCACAAAGAAGCTGACTAAGGCTGTGCATTGGATTTGGACAGAACGTGGACCCCACCAGAGCATTCCGTCACAAACCCAAGGTGAAATCAGGGACAGGGAGGTGAGAGCTGGTCTGCACCTTTCTTGGGGTCTAAACTTTGGAACAAAGCATGTGTTGGTTTCCATATCCCACTCTTTTCACTCCAAGATTATATTTATGAATTTACATGAGAAAAGGGAAAGAAGGCTGTACCTTTCCATGTCTGCACAATTGGAGTCACGTTCCTGCAGCCACCCCTGTGTTGTGTGATCTGTGAAAAAACACATTTATCACTGAAAGCAACCTGAGAGGCACAGCATGGGGCACTGAATTCAGGAGATGGCATCTGGGGCTGGGATATTGTCACCAGAGAGGTTAGGAGGACTTCTCGGAATGAGGAAAAACAACTTTTGAATAATTCACACTGGGCTCGGGGAAATAAGAGGGGGCACTTACAGCAGAGGAAGATGGCAAGGATCGGCAGGGCCAACACTGCTGCTGTGCTGACCACAAGGGTGGTGACGTCCATGAATGCCGCGCAGCCTTCTTCTGTGGTCAGATAAGGAAAAAGCAGCAGAAAACACAATCAGAAGGAAAAGACAAGAAAAAAAGCAGTTGGCCACTATGAAAACTTGCTTAAATAGACCTAGGAAAAAAAAAAAAAAAAGAAAAGCAAATCTCTGGGAAAAAAAAAAGAAAAAAGAAAACAAAAGCAATTAGATGGATTTTTGGAGCAGTCCCAGCTCTGAATGGTAGAGCAGAAGGGCTAAGGCAGACAACTTCCTCACCATGGCGCCGGTGGATGTTCTTCATGTGGAAGCTGCTTGTCAGCACCACCAGGAGCACCCCTCCTGGAGCAGCGTAGCCCATCGTGCGCTGTGCTGGCCATGGGAAGGACAAGAAAGACATGTCAATGTGGCCTTCCCACAGGCAGACAGGGGCTGCCAGCATTACTTTGTACATGAGTGATGCGTGGCAAAATAAACTCCCTTATCATTTGCTTTTATCTCCATTCTTGCCTTTCTTGAACAGCTCACCTGCTGTGCTTTGGAGCCGGATGAGCTTCGTAGGCTGGAAAGTCACTGTGGAGGCCACTACGAAGGTGATCACAATCACATACAAAAGGAAAATCTCTGGCAGTATGACAGCAATGGATGGGCCTGGAAGAGAACAGCACAGAGCTGAGCACCACTTTTTCCATTTTCAGGATTTTGTAAGTCTCCATCATGTCCCTTTCCCATGACTGGACTTTCCAGTCACCTCCCCTCCCCCATTCTCACTACCCCCCCTTCTCCCCCACAACTTGCAGCTCTATTCCTTGGTCATTCTAAGTGCCCTTCTGCAGTTACCCACTGGGAAAAGGCTTTGTGAAAAAGAACAACCATATTAGTAGTATAATTGAGTATCTAATTCGTATGGTGGTTTCTCAGCTTGCCAAGGACAACATGTTGAGCCCGAGGGCTCCATTTCCTCTATAAAGGGCCCTTCTCCTCTCCAGCCAACACTCAGATGGATGTTCATCTCCCATAAGGTCCCCACTCCAATGATCACTCTTGCATGCTGTACCCTTTGTGAGGGAAAGAATTGGTATCTGCACTGCAACACTCCCTAAAACGCCTCTTACCTTCTTCTCTCATCCAGAGGAGCCCAGCAGTGCCAGCCAGGATGGAGGAGATGCACACCAGCCCACAGGTGTAGGCACTGAGCCACCTCCACAGCTCTCCTCCTAGACATCAGAGCAGAGTGGGGTGACATCTATGTCCCCTCAGGCTGCCCCACACCAGTCCCCAGCCCTCCTTTTGGGTGGGATGCAGCAGTGGGGTGTCCTTCTCCAGGGTATGGTAGGGTTGACCCATTTAAAAGAAGGGATAGCTATAAAGGGCTCTGCAACAATGGCACAGAGTACATAAAATACTTTATTAAAATGGAGTCTCGGAATGAAAATATTCAGAGATGCTACAATTTTCTATTAATGTGTCTCTCAGTCACCTCAACGCTCTGAGGAAAAATTATGTAAGGATATGCTAGGGTTCAACCTGACCTGAGAACTTAACAAAATGAGTTTTCTCCATTAAAACAAACAAAAAACAACCACCAAGGAGAGTTTACTCTTAAGATAAGCCTCCAGATGAGAAGGGGAGATGTTTAGTCATCAGGAAGGGGGCATGAGTTGGTTACCATCTCTTCCCACAGCATTGCTCCTCACTCAGCACCACTGGAAGACAAAACTGGGTGTTCAGCCCAGTGCAGACTCACTTATTCTTAGCTTTTCAGACTGGCAGACAGGAAAAATTATGCCCCATCCTGAGACAGCAGCAAAGACCAGAGCAACCACTGAAATCCTCAGCACATCCTGCAAGGGAGGGGAGAGACCTGGGAAAAAAAAAAAAGGAAAACAATCCCTGAAGCTGGGAGCAATGTCACAGTAGGATCAGCACGGAGGGCTCTAGTGGGCCATGGAGTTCCACCATGTGTAGGTTGGATTTCTCACTTTACTAGCTGATGGATTTATTTCTTCTGGAGGCTCTGGTCCATGAAACACCCAGCTGGGATTAAATGTTGCCCACAGGCACTTTGCCCAACACTTTGACCATATCCTGCCCACCACTGCTTTAGCCAAGGGTTGTGATGTTGACCTAGGCTTAGGGACATTCTCTAAGAAGGAATGGCCAAATTCTTCTGCTCATTGCACCAAGATCTGTGGCTTGGCGCCGGCTAGAGGTGGGACGGAAGACTGCAAATTGCTTCCTATCATCCTACAATAGCGAGCTCTGGTTGACAGCACGTGGACATCCTGGGTGGCAAGACCTTGGGAGACGGAGGAAGAATGAAGTGAAATAACCAAGGGATATTGGCAACAGGTGGAGCAAAGGAAGAGTGTTGAGTTCTGGAGAACAGCATCTCTCCATGCCCCTCAGGGCAGCCCATGGGAAGCTCATTTTTAGCCACTATTTTAGTGATCACCTGCAACAGTGACGTTCAGGGAGGTCTCCTGCCAACTTATCCCATTGCTGGCATTGCAGGAATAGCAGCCACAGTCCGATTTCTTTACCATCCTCAGTGGCAAAACACTGAGGCTTCCAGAGAGGTGGTAACTTCTGTCCGGGGGAAGCATCTGCCCATCCTTCTTCCAGGTGAAGACGTCTGCCCTGCCCTCTGCTACCTCACATAGTACCTCACCACTTGCCTTGGCCACCAGGCCACTGCTCCAGAGCTGAGGGTGAGACACAGGCTCTGGAAAGGAAACAGAAACACCAGCGCTTCTCTCAGACCTGAGCAGGACCGTCCACAGAGGGGATCAGGCTGGTAGTGTTCATTAAAGCATCCTTTAATCTGCAAGGATGTGATTGCAGGTGACTTTTGCTAGAAAGTCTTGCACTGCACAAGGGTGCTGGGCTTTCTGGCATTTATTTGGAACTCCTAGTTACGTCATTTATTATTTTTTTTTTTTAAATCATACTTGGGTTAACAGAGCACATTTAGTAAGTGAGGGAAAAAAAAAAGAGGAAAAGGAAAGCAAATTTCTCTGCAGCAGAGATGTTGCAGTAACATCATGGCAGCAGCATTACTAGAAAGAAAATAACCAGAGCAAATTAAGGGAATTGGCAAGAGCAACATCAAGAAGAGACTCGTGTGTTATTTAAAGCATGCTTTTATCTCAGCAGCAGCATTTTGTCCCTGGAAGTAGCCAACAGCCACAGACAGCATGGTGTGTGAAGGACGATTTTGGTGACTTCTCCATGAAGACCACCCTGCTGGGCTTCACTCCATTAGTGATGCCAGCTTTCCTTGGAAATGATGCAGCATGGGTGACACCGGCCACAACACTGCCAGCCTCTCCATCTCTTTCTGAGAGCAGAAAAGAAGGGATGGAAGAGACCTTCCAGTATGGGGTCAAGCCCTTTGTCATATCCTGATGCTGAAGAAGCATCACCAGATCTGGTGGTCTCCCAGAGTTCTGGGAAGGTCTCTATCCACAGCTGGTCCAAGCTCCCCATCACTTGCCTGTAAGGCTTGGCTCAAAAATCTCTTCCCCTTACCCCTTTGCTAGGCTGATAATCCATATATGTTCAAAATACTGCCTGCATCCATCACCCCACTCCTCTCTCTCATAGCCACCACTTACTGAGGACATCCAGCAAGACTGACAAGCTCTCCCTTTCTGCTTGGTTGACAGTCACTCTGTAGATGCCACTGTCGCTTTCCTGGAGGTCCTCCAGGAGGAGAGATCCATTGGACGCATGCAGATGGGCTCGTGCAATGTATGGCATGTGGATGGTCAGGTTGTGCTTCTCATACTGCAGGATGGTGTGGGAAGCAGTGCCATTGAGGTGCTCCCACCATATGGAGTGGATGAGCGTGATGTTAAGCGGCCCCGCAAGCAGCACTGAGGAACCCACCATGGCCACTCTTCTCTGCAGGGCTCTCTCCACTTCTGCAGCCTGTTTCAAAGGCACCAGCATCCCTGGATGATAGAAGAACATGAAGAGAAGACAAGCCAGGGAGATGGAGCAAGTCTTGGGAATGGTACTCACTGTGCCAAGGACACACAGGTAGAATCTAGACAGCTCGGTCTTCATGTCTTACAACCCATCTCCTTCAGGCAGTGTGATATCCCATCTGGAGCTCATATTGGGTGATGTGAGAATCTGCCTGCGGGGCTGAGGCCTTTTCTACTCTAGTTCTGTGCATAAGGGTTGCATTCCCTACCAGTCTGTGCCCAGAAGGCACTTTCCAAGCATCTCATTCCCAGTTCCTGATCTAGTTTGGAGCTGAAAGCATCTATTTGCTCCCATCTGAGGAATCATCATGATTCCATCAGGATAGAGCTGCTTCCCCAAAATGCATGTCAGTTTATGGGTTTTTCATGAGGCTCTGAGGACTTCAAGGGGTCACAGCTCCCAGACCAAATGGAATACAATTTTCAGGGAAAGCCAGACAGAAATAACTGCTAAAATCTTGGCTTGTAAAATGGAATCCTTACAAGCAAACAAATAAAGAAGATGAGTTTAATTAGTTTAGAGGAAAAGGAAATGAGAGGAATGGTATTTGTTTAGCTAGAAATGATAACAGTCATAAAAGAAAGGTTATTTTTTAGCCAGGCACAAACCCAATGAATCGCTGCTGGCACTAGCAGCATAACAAACACACCCACGCCTCTGCTGATGGAAACTCCAGAATTTCTGTTTGAGGCCCTCTTCCCCTAGCAGGACAGCCAGGCTAACCCTGAGCGTCCTGCTGGAGGTGGCCTGAGGTGAGGAGCAGCAGCAGAGACCCAGCAGGCAGTGAAGGCTGTGCTTCCTCCTCTCTCTCCACCATGTCTCAGTTCCTGCCCCAGTGAAAGCTGTTGCTACACATTCATACTGCAAACCCTCCTGAAAACCATCCTTCCTGAACAAACTTTTTATTTCCCTTCACAGTTTTGCAACACAGGATAGAAGTCAGCCATAACAAGGCAAACAAAACGAGCCCAGCTGACGGTTTATCCAATTCTCATACTGGTAACCTTCACAAACAGCCATGGGGCTTTATTCTTGTGCCTCCATCACCTAAGACATGTGTGCAAGGAGGATAAATGAGTTTATAACAGAAAACCCCCTTGTTATAGAAGAACACTCTTCACACAGCATCATCAACATGAAATAAAAGAAAATACTCCATCACAAACATCTTTTCACAACTGCAATAGCCCAAGCTCATTATGTAGGTGCTCAGCATCCACAAACACTACGACATCTGGACAACTGCGTATTTTTTCCCTTTTTAAATGCTCAGCCTGAAACCTTTGTCCATTTGCTCTTCAAGCCGGCCAGCACATACACTAAGACCACAGCAAGATTATTCCTATGACTACAATAAATGTTGTGTTGTCACATATATTGATCTCTGTATCAACCTACCTGCAGAAAACTTTTAGCCTCAGTGCCATTCTCCTGAGCTGCTTCTATCTCCTCTGCCTTTGACTAACAGAACAGACATACTCTTCCCTTACAGAATGAACATTTAGCCCCACTTTGAAAAAGAAAAACAAAAAACCTGACCCTTTATAGGCCAGCGATCCCCATGCATAACTGCCTAACTGCTTACACCTGTGCTGGTGTGCCCCAGGTAAGGATTCAAACTGGAGCCCACTGGGTGGCATTAAACCCCCATTTACCTGCCAGGAGCATCCCCAGCAGCTCCACGGGGTGGTGCAGCAGCATCCGTCGAGAAGAAAAGATTCAAAATCGCTGTATTTAAAAAATACTAATTCCAAGTTAGATTACTGCTTGCGAGGAGCTGGGTGGCTCTGCTCTGGAGGGCAGTGCTGAGGCTGGGCTCCAGGCTCAGGTCTCCCCGCTGGCCGCTCCTCTCTGCCTTTGCTGCATCCTCTCCTCCCTCCTGGGAGGTTTCTGCCTGCAGCAGCCGCTCCCGCCCCGGCGTTGTGATGTCCATCCCGATCCCGTTCCCGCAGGGAGCAGGGCACCTTGTGCTAAGGAGCCAGGCTGTGCCTCTGCAAGAAATGCAGCAATTGGTGGTCAGGACAACCCAAGAGGAAGAACCCACTCCACTCTAGGAGGGGTTCCTATTTCCATTCTGAAAGCAATATAAATTCCAGATGAGGTCAGCAGATCCATTTCCATCTCTTTTTTACAGCTCATGAATCTTCCCCCGGAGAGCATCCCTGTTCCCTGAGGTGGTTTCTCACCCCCTAACCTGTTACTCCACCAAAGCAGATGTAGAATAGGATTACCCATGTGCCACAAGCTTTCTGCAAGAGGAATTTCATTTTAAAGGGAGTGTGATCTGAAGGAGCACCTAGGGACCACGTTTAATGGTCAGAGAGATGAGAGGCTTGGGAAGGTTGGAGCTTGGAGCCAGAGCTCCAGAGAAAGGCTTCTTGGCCTGCTGACTGTGGCTGGCTCCATCTGGCCCCTCTAGGTCATTGAAACCAGAGTGAGATGGATGCTGGGACCAGGCTGCAAAGCCTTAGGAAGTGATGGGTGGATGTCATCAAGCCCAAAGGAAGCATCACCAACATATTGATGTCTGGCAGCTCCATCACCCCTGTCCATGTTCCATCTGAGCCATGGAAACTCATTTGAAACACCTGAGAGCAGCCCTTTTCTGACCCATGTTTGGCTTTCATATTTTACTGCCCTCTTTCCCACTTCTTGGCCCTTTCTTTGTCTCTTTCTAAATAAATACTCCCATAATTACTTTCCCCACATTGTTCCTCATTTTGCTATGCAGCAGCATAGAAGCACCAAGTGGTCTGTGTTGGATGATCCTCTGATCCAACTCTTGCCATGGGCAGGGACATCTCCCTACATCAGGTTGCTCAAAACCTGTCCAACCTGACTTTGACCACTTCTATAAAACTTCTCTGGGCAACCTGCTGCAGTGCCTCACCACCCAAATTTAGCATCTGGAGTACATCCACACCTAAATTTAATATTTACAACACCACTACGTAGGCTGTCTTAGCTTTCTCTGATGCTTCTGATAAGGTTACCTCCGCATTCTTAGCCACATGTGAAACCCATGCAACACTTGCAGCCCCATCTCTGAGTTTTGATGCTTCTAACACTATGATTTCTCGCAGCCTGTGATCCCCACCATATTTTTCCTTTTTTTTTGTTGAAGCACAGGCTGTTCCCACTTGGATCTTTTCACGTCATTTTATTGCCAACAGTGCATTTTCATTTTTAATAAAACTTCTCTATTTTCCTGTGCCTAGCAAACTGTAGGCTCTCTGTTCCTCAGTTCCTCAGTGCAGGGTCACATCACCGGACATTTGCATTGAGTCATAACGCTGCAGCCAGGATGCTCAGGACAGCCACAAAACTAAAAGCAACCAAAACAAGTGTGAAGGTGCTGGTGTTAAATGCAGCAAAATGTGATTTGCCACTGGGAGCAGCACTTCTGTCCCTTCCCTGCAGGCAGTGCTCCCACCATGTCCCCAGCATCCATACCCACCTCTCCAAAGAGACATATTTATCAATCAGGATACTCCATCACATTATTCCTTCCACAATTTGTTGGAAGGAAATTTTGAAGTCATATTCTACATTTAATCTTAAATGGATGACATGAAAAATTAGTTAAATCCTTTCATAATCACTTCCAAAGCTTTTCCGGCACTTGTGTTGCACCCTGCACCTTTTGAAGATCAAACAGCAAACACAGCAGCACGAACCTGTAAATATTGGCTGCAAGGAAGAGTTTGCACACACGCTGCTTTGGACCACAGCACCTTCTCGTGGTTACAGAGAGATAGGAGCAGCTGACTATCAGCACATATGTACCCAATGTCACAGCCCGTCCAAAGGCACAGCCTCAGGCCTCACTCTCCCAGCCCCATGTTGCTGTAACCCAGCTCGTCATGAAGGGGCAATCACTGGTCTCTGCTAGAAGTCAGAAGTGTCAGGACAAAGACAAAAATTATGTTTGTTGGTCGATCTCAGCATTGCTCTCGTAGGCAGTTTGGAGCACCCTGGCCTTTGCCAGGAAGGTGCTTGGCTGAACGGTTTACCAGAGCTTTTCTAAATTCTCCACACAGTTTTAAAAGAGAGGAAAAAATCAGTACTGCAACTTCTCCACCAGATCAGTTCTGGTGAAGTCCATGACACTTTTTTGCTCTAAGTAAATTGGATGTCCTGGAATGGCAGGGCAGTGGAGGCCTGCAGGCACTTTTTCCAATCCGACGCCTTGCTCACACAAGGTCTCTTAGAGATGGTCACCAGGACCACGTTCTGTTTGGTTTTGAATGTCTTGGCCTGATTCTTCTGCCCCACCAACTTGATACATTCATTTATCCAACCCACGGTTCTCTATGAGGAAGTTTTGGGAGATGGCATGAAGAACCTCGTAAGGCTGAGGAGAAGCATCATCCACTGCGCTGCTCTCATCTGGCAACCAGCCACTTCAGTGCAGAGCCATGTCAGGTTGGTTCAGTGGGGTTTCTCATCCATAAATCCACTCTGACTCTTGCCAGTAGATTTCTTGCCTGTCATATGTTGGGAAGTGGTTTCCCTCACCTACTCACGATTCAAGGGGAGGCTGACCAGGCTGGAGCTCCCCCTGGTCCTCCTTTTTGAATGCAGGAGTGATGTTTGCCCTCCACCAGCCTTCATGAATCTCTCCCAGTTGCCACAGCCTCACAGAGATAATCCAGAGCAACCTTGCCACACCATCAGCCTCTTCCTCAGAGCTTGTAGGTGGCATCCCATCAGGCTCCATGTGCCTACATGCATCCAGTTGGCTTGGGTGCTCTCTAACCTGCTCCTCTCCAACCAAGAGAGACTGGTCTTACTGGTGAAGACCGAGGTGAAGAAGGCATCAGGTATGTTGGCATTTTCCATGCCCTTTGTCACCAGGTACCCTGCCCCAGTCAGAGCAGGTTGTGCTCAGCAGGAGATGACCTTCAGCCACGTGGGATGGGTCAAAACATGGAAGACATAGGACAAGCAGCAGGGCTGCTGAGAGGAACAGTGCACTACGTGAGTCTTTAAAATCAAAGGCTGCAAATATCCGGCAGAGGAAGCTACTCTGACACGCAGCCAGCAGTGTCTGAGGGGGGGCCTGTGAGCCCCAAGCCATTAGCAGCCACAAGAAAGCCACACTGACCTTTAAGAGCTACAAAGGGCAGGCAGAGAAGGGGCCAGAGACACAAAGCCCTGTGAAGAAGTTGCTCAGAGGAGGAAATGGAAAGGCAGAGGCAGCCGATGAGGCTGCAGCACAAGTCAGAGGCCACGACATGGCGGAGGTGGGGACAAAATGTCACTGGTAGAACATGAAGCAAGAGGGGAGCAGAACGTCAGGGCGGGGGGAGGGAAGAAGGCAGGAACTGGGCAGCAGACAAACCTTATGGAGAAACTGCGGCCAACCATTCCTCCTTTCTCTTGTAGTTCGTGCTGTACTGCTTTCTGCAGTTTGCTCTGTGTTTTGCACATAGCGTGGGATGCAAGAGGAACCATGGGTTGCTGCGGGGAATCCATGATGTGGCTGTGATAGGACTAGATGATCCTAGGGGTCTTTTCCAATCTTTATGATTCTATGATTCCATGACTCCCCACACCTCCCTGCTGAATGAAGACCTGCTTTCCTGTCCCCTGGGCCACTCTTGCAGTCTACCAAATAAGTGCAGTTTCAACCACATCATGTTACAAGCACAGCTATCGCACTTGCGTATGACCCAGCATGGAGGGCAGGGCTTGGCAAGCCTCATTAGCACAAAACTGCAGAGAACTGGTCTCAATGTTGCACCTTGCCACCGACCAACAGACAGCAGCCACTCTGCAGAAAGTCTTTCCACTGTTTGCTAATATATGTTCTCATGCCAAGGGAGAAGCCGCATTACCTTGCCCAAATCTTAGTGTCACATCTCAGCAGCCTGTAGCGTGTTCCTACAAAAAGCATTTGAGCTGAGATCAGCTCATTATGTGTTGGGTGCCACAGTCAGGTCAATTCCTGGTCTTGAGAAATCCCATGGAAGGATGGGCATTTCTGCTCACTGTGCATCAGCTGAGCATGGACTTGGACCTGTTACAAGCTCTCCCTGCTGCCACCCTACAAGATCCTAGTCCCACAGGGAGGATTTAATGCCTCCTGCCCTGCAGATCTTCTTTACAGATGACATTTCAGGAGCTGGGCTCTCCAAAGATGTCTTCTCCAAGAAGCTGCTCTGGGAGATGTAAGGCTCACAGTGATGCAGCTGAGTTTTTAGTGAATGCTAGTTGTTACAAATTTAGATCTATGGATTAATTTTGCTTTAGTATTGAGGTTATTTTGTTGCTTAGTAGGCACCTGTGAGACTTTCCTGACAGGGCTCGCAGCTGCAGAAGAGCAGGGCTGTGCACTCAGCAGTCCTCCCTCGCCCTCCCCTGCTCTCCCTGGATGGTGTTTCCAAACCTTTCAGAAGCTAGACAGGGACAACTGCAGCTGTGCTTAAGGACAAGCAGTAAGGCAGTGACCACAAGTGCCTCAAAACTGACACCCACAATTCCTGTGCGCTTATTTGCTGCTGCTTCACTTTTTTGGTTCTTTCTTGTTCCCTGATGCTTGAGGTCTTATGATAACCACTGCAAAGGCACTGTTCACCTAAGGCAGCTTTTCAGCATTTGTGGTTTTATCATCACAAAGCACTTCTGTTTTCAGAAGAAAAACTGCCGTAATGAACATCAGCAGGGTTTCACAAGGGTAGAACAGCCCTGTACTTCAGCTGGTGCCAGTAGAGGGGCTTTGACCACCACTACCATTGTCGTCCCTCTTGAACATGATCCCAGACCACACAGGAGCACCCAAATGGGAGGGAGGCAGCAGTAGAGGCTTCTGTGCTGTCTCCAAGCCTGGTTGTGGTTGGGAGATGCCTAGCACTCTTACCCGCTCCTAATGTCCATTTATTACTGATGGGGCCCCAAGTTTCAGTATATTATCTAGTTTTTCATTAAACCCAGAGAGGAACAAAATTATCTATGCTCTCACTGCATTTTGCAGACACCCTAAAATGCTACTGCTGTGGGACCCCGAGGTTGAGCAAAGTTTATTTCAGAAATGGTCTGTTCAGGTATTACTTGGCATACTCATAAAAACAAGGACACCAGGTCCAAAGATCTTTGTACATTCTTTTAATATGACAAGCAATTGGTAAGGGACCCCGGGATGCACGACTGAAATACATTCAGTGCTCTCCATTACCCCTCAAATTAAGGCATGTCTCTGGAAGCGAGCTTCTCATGGATGAACTGTTGTTTTGCTTTTGCTTTAGGCATCTTTCTCTTGCGTTCAGAGTCTCTGTGATCTCCGGAAATCTCAAGATGAAGCTAAAAGCAGATCATTCCTCAAATTCAAGAGAAACTGCAGTTTGAGGCAAACTAATGCATTTCCATAATCTGTTGCTCCAAGCACTTAAACAACACTCCATGGGCAGGAGGGGACTCACCAAAGGTCTGATCACAAGGGACGCAGTGGCAACAGCATCACCTTGGCTCTGCTGCACATCTACCTCCTGCAAAGTTCGGAGCCGAAGCGGAGGGCAGTTGAGGGAAGTTTATGGATGTGTAGAGAGTCTCTGGTAATGCTCTTGGTTTTGTCTCTTCAAAGTCTTGTCCAACTGTGGCATAAATTGTTGCCACGTCCCTTACCACGGTGTTTTCCATGTGGATATCCTCTGTGTTTGAGGCCTGGAGAAGTACAGAAAAAACACCAAAGGTGCTGGAATTAGCAGGGATCCAGAGCTGCTGACCCCCATGCAGCAAGGATTATTTTACCCAAGGACCTTTCAGACAAAGCCAGTTCCTACATGAAACACGGCCTGCAGAGCAGCTGGGGCTGTCCTGCTCTCATGTTTCCTATTTGTTTCTTTTGATTCTTCCTCTGGGTTTTATTTCTCTCCCTGCATGAGATGAGTCCCTAGATGGCCCACATGGACCCCAAACACATTCTGAACATAAATTCACAAGGCTGGCAATCAGGGAAGAAATACTGTCTCCATATTTCTCTGCATGTAACCGTCCTTTCTCGATGCTGCTGTTGGTCAAAGCTGTCCTCAAGCTTCTCAGGTCCCTAAAAACAGCTCCTCTGGGCTCTGGGAAGGGGGCAAAGGGGAACTGTGCAGCTGGGGGAAGGGCAGGCACTTCACAACTTACTCCTACAGCACTGAATTAACTTCCTAATTTTATATTCAGCAACCTATTCCTGCGGCTCAGTGCATCATACTGAAGCCAGCAGTTAGCATTTACCCAAGGAGCTTTCAAAAGATTTTCCTGTACCTGCTGCTGTGTAATGGTTCTCATCTTCCGCAATGCACCTGAGAAAAAGAGAGTTTTAGTACCTGACAGACACACAGATGTGTTGTGCCCTCCCTCTCCCCAACCCTGGGAACCCAGAGGTGCACTGTTGGCACTTTCACCAGGGGCTGACATGGATTTTGTTGTCAAGATGGAGATTTCTGTGGCTATTTTACCCAAGTACAAGTGAAATCTCCCACTTGGAAACTAATGCATTTCCTTCCATCCTGAGGGGTGATGGTGTTGATGGAAGGCTGCGGAGACCTGCGTCTTGCAGGTTTATTTTCAAGTGGACACATCCCAGGATGTTCTCCCCAGCTGGAGTTTTAAGGTGTCTACAACAAAATAATCACAGCCATGCTCAGAGGCTGCATTTCTGAGTCCATCAATTGTACCTCTTCTATGGATTAGATGTAATGCTGTATCTCAGTTCTGATATCAGCATTAAAATCCAAGTTCTGCAGAAAGCCACCCCAACTGCCCTGTGCTGTGCTTCTGCTTCGTTAAGCTGCATCACCAACTTGGAACCTTTTACGAATAGCAGGAGGGGCACATCTAAGGAGCTCTTAGGGAAGGAATACTTTGGTATCCCTCCACTGCCTTTATCCCCTAGGAACATCCCCAGAGGTGCAGCCTCAAAGGGAGAAATGCAGGAGCAGATCCACCTACCTCGCCGCCATATGCGGAGGAGCAGGAACAGCAGAAAGAGGCCGATAAGGGAGCAAACTCCAATTGTGTAGTAATGGGAGTAGTCTTGGGCCTTGGTGCCTGGTATTTGGAAGACAACAGCTGCTGTGAGTGCTTCCTAAAGGAATGCAGGGGTGGCAGATACCACAGCAGAGATTATTTCCCTTGCTTTGTAAATAGGGTGGCACCAAAGTGGAAGGAGAATATTTGGCATATGTTTCACAGCCTCTGTGGCGACTGATTAATCTGCAAGCATCCTATTAAACCCAGCAAATAATGGATTTCCCCAGGCACAGGACTCAGACCCAGTGCTTCATTTCCTGAGCCCATCTCTCCCTTCTGCAGCCTTTCATTCCACACAAACACAAGACAACCAGCTGCATGTACAAGAAGCTCTCATACTTCTAATTTAGCACGCAGAGTGGAACAGGGTGGGTTTCCTCCTACAACAGAGCAGCACAACCAGCATCAGTTGTGATACCCCTGGAAATTCTCCCTTTGCTGCCGTAGTTCATCCCCATAGAAAGAGGGACCAAATTCCAGCCTGTGCCTGATGGTCCTGTGTCCAGGACACTGCTGGAGGAGTCTGTCCAGGCACATGGGCACTTACCTTTGTCAGGATGCTCAGTGGAAACATGCTGCTGGTGCACTGCCAGGGTGATCCGCCTGCTTTGATTTTGCTGTTGGAAGGCAATGCTGTACACCCCGCTGTCACTGAGCTGCAGGTCCCGCAGCAGCAGGGATGCGTTCTCAGGGAAGACTTCAATGCGGTGCCGGTATGAGGGGTGAGGGAAACGTAGTGCAGAGCATTCCTTGGGAGCTCCCCAAGCATCCAGGGAGCAGCTGAGCACCGTGCAGGTGATGATCACTTGCGAGCTGTTCTCAAACTTCCACTGAATTGACAATGGGAAGCAAAAGGAGCTCTTGACTGTGTAGGAGACGGGCAGCAGCACGGAGTGCCCCACGGTGCCACTGACCGCATCCTGCGGGACCTCGATGAGAAGAGCCAGGCTTTGCCCTGCAGAGCAGGAGGAGGCAGCTCAGCAGCCCTTCAGCCCCAATCTCAGCACCCGCTGCTCGCAGCGCCCCATCTCCCACCGCCCCTCGCCCAGCAGCCACGCTCCCGACGCCGGCCCTCGGCTTCACGGCCAGCCCGGCAGCGGCTGCAGCCTCCAGCGAACCCAGCCGCGACTCACCCAGCAGCAGCAGCCGCAGCAGCAGCAGCAGCAGCAGCAGGAGGGAGCCTCGGCCCCAGCAGCGCCGCCCGCGGCACATCTCCTGCGGCTGCCGTGCTCTCCTGGCCCGGGAGGAAGTCAGCGGCTCTGGCTCAGCCCCTCTGCCCCGTTTGGGTTCGCTGCGGGTGGGTGAGACCGGGCTCCTTCCTGTGCGTGTAACAGCAGAGGGGAGGCCACGGGCAGTGCGTGTTGTGTGGGGGGAATCCCAGGTGACAGGAGGACCCCGAGGCCGGGCAGATCCCAGTGGAAGAGAGCAGGAGCCCACGGGAACCTCTGGGCGCTCCTGTGCTGGAGCTGGAGCAGGAGCCGAGGCTGCAGCTGGTGGCTGAGGCTGGAACTTGTCGGTGCTGCCCACGCTGACCCTCTGCCCTCCTTCAGCCTCAGAAGCCGCCCATCGTCTGCCCTGCAGCTCAGCCTCTGGGCCCTGAGTCCCAGTCCGAGGTGCCACCACCACCCACGGCAGGCCAGAAGCTTTGGGAAACTGGCTCCCACCTCTAGCTCTGCTGCTGGGACTTTTTCAGATGATGCTGCAGCCTCACATCAGGCACCTGGGAGACAGATTTGGTGGAGGAAAGGACGTTTATTTGCCCACAGGAGGACTTAGTTAATGGTGGGGGAATGTGAGTGGGGAAGTGGTTGCACACTGCAGGCAGGGACAGGTGCTTGTGGATGCCTGGGTTTCACCAGCACAGCGGTGTCAGGAAAAACAGCTTGAGGCACTGCAGAGCACAGTCATTGTGCCTGGCCACTGCTGTGTCCTGAGGTGCCAGCTCTGTCTGCTCCCACTCACCAGCTCTCTTCTCCCCAGCAGCAGCCTCATGTTTCTCCAGGTCAGCTCTGCTGCTGGCGGCCACCCCGCAAGCACAGCAGGTGGAAGAGCAGCTGCAGGAGCAGCAGGATGACGCAGTAGCAGGCACTGAGGCTGTAGCAAGGGATGTGTGCAGCTGTACCTCCTGCTCCTCGCTCTGTGCTTGTGGAAGGAGAGGGGAGAAGTGGCTGCTGGAGACAGCTATCTCACCAAAGACCTCTCTGTTGTCCTCAGAATGTGCAAGGCAGGCAGGCATTCTGCAGGGGCACTGCTGGAGGAGTCTGTCCAGGCACATGGGCACTTACCTTTGTCAGGATGCTCAGTGGAAACATGCTGCTGGTGCACTGCCAGGGTGATCCGCCTGCTTTGATTTTGCTGTTGGAAGGCAATGCTGTACACCCCGCTGTCACTGAGCTGCAGGTCCCGCAGCAGCAGGGATGCGTTCTCAGGGAAGACTTCAATGCGGTGCCGGTATGAGGGGTGAGGGAAACGTAGTGCAGAGCATTCCTTGGGAGCTCCCCAAGCATCCAGGGAGCAGTTGAGCACCGTGCAGGTGATGATCACTTGCGAGCTGTTCTCAAACTTCCACTGAATTGACAATGGGAAGCAAAAGGAGCTCTTGACTGTGTAGGAGACGGGCAGCAGCACGGAGTGCCCCACGGTGCCACTGACCGCATCCTGCGGGACCTCGATGAGAAGAGCCAGGCTTTGCCCTGCAGAGCAGGAGGAGGCAGCTCAGCAGCCCTTCAGCCCCAATCTCAGCACCCGCTGCTCGCAGCGCCCCATCTCCCACCGCCCCTCGCCCAGCAGCCACGCTCCCGACGCCGGCCCTCGGCTTCACGGCCAGCCCGGCAGCGGCTGCAGCCTCCAGCGAACCCAGCCGCGACTCACCCAGCAGCAGCAGCAGCAGCAGCAGGAGGGAGCCTCGGCCCCAGCAGCGCCGCCCGCGGCACATCTCCTGCGGCTGCCGTGCTCTCCTGGCCCGGGAGGAAGTCAGCGGCTCTGGCTCAGCCCCTCTGCCCCGTTTGGGTTCGCTGCGGGTGGGTGAGACCTGGCTCCTTCCTGTGCGAGTGCAGAGGGGAATCCCAGGTGACAGGAGGACCCCGATGGAAGAGAGCAGGGTCTAAATCGCACTCCTTTTTAACTGTGAGCAACAAGAACGAGGCTCTGTGCTTTAAAGGAGTTGAAGAAAGCATAATGCAGTGATAAACAGAAAATGGGAATTAATGAGGATTTTTATTTTTAGGAACTATAAATAACATTGGTCTCCACGGGCAGACGAAAGAACCTCTCAGTAGCAAGAGAAAAACTTCCTCCTTGTAGGCAAAAACAAGAGTCAGACTGTCAATAAGTAGAAAAGACCCAGGAGTGTTCTCCAGAATCGTTGGTCTGAGATGCAAGTCCAGAACCAGCAGCTCTGTTTCAAAGCCAGTGGTAGTAGGTGAAATAGAGAGGTTGGTTTGGAGTCCTGACCACATGGCTTCGATGATCAGGACCACAGGAGATGGCCTCCATCCTTCTCCATTTATTTGTCTGCATGGATTTCTTCCACAATTCAGCTTTCATGACAGGTGAGGAAGATGCATGGATATGGAAGGTGTGCCTGCCAAGGCAAGGGGGTTGGAAACACATGCTCTAAAGAGGAGGTCCCTTCCAACCAAAACTACTCCATGATTCTACTGTTCTATTATATCTCACCTGACGGGATATTCATATTTTTTAATGAGACTGCCTTGGTTGCTGGCTCCCAGGTAGGAGAAATCAGAGCAGTCTCATCATCAGACCAGGGCTTGGTCTTCTCCGTGGAAATCCAGCATGGTGGGAAAGGCTTGGCCCAGGGAGGGATGCACATGGTCTCCACAAGGTTCAAGGGCACCTTCTAGTCCTGGCTGGAAGACCTGACCAGATCTCCACGGTGATCCTGCCCTCAGCATGCAGTACCCCCTTCACACCTCTTTTTCTTCCATTCTCAATGTCTCTTGGGCAATGGAAGTGATTTGCTCTGTCCAAGAACAAATCGTAGCCCATGCAGCACTGGGCTGTGATTCTCACTTGGTTGGGTCACTCATCTAGGAAGGAAATGTGGGAAGTTGTGATGGGGGACTTCAAAGCCACAGCACTGGCAGCTCAAAGAACAACTCTTCAGTGACAATCAGAAAATTCACACCCCTTCACACCTTCACGGAGCCCAGCTCTTTGCTCACAGATTTTCAAGATTCATCACAGTTTTTGGGACTTCCTGCACTTCAGGTTGTGATCTCCGTGGGTTTGGGGGATGCTCGGGGTAACAGGTCCTGCCCCATCTTCACCATTGCACTGCTTGGGTTGGTACTTTTCAACCACAGCTTTCGCATAGCTAAAATCAAATTGCAGATGCAGACAGTAGCATGACCCTTGCTGTAAGACTTGTTATTTCATCGATGAGAAGCTCAGAAGGAGGAAAATGTGCTCTGCTTAATGCTGCTGGGCACAGCTAGCCAAGAAAGACTGAAGCTCAGTGCTGGGGGTGCAGTCAGACCAGGGGTGCTGAATGGGTAAGGATGAATCAGAGGTCTTCACTGGGGAGGATGGAGGGCTGGTGCCAAAGAAGTCAGGTGAAAATGATGGTGACAGCAACATTTGCAGCTTACACGTATGCTTGCAACTTTCAAAGCATATAACAGTTACAGATACATGTGCAATCAAAATTATGTGTTTTTGATTTTGATTCATGTGTATCAAAATTAAATCTGAAAAGTAAAATAGGAAAAACCCATGTGCATCCTCTGTCCAGCTGATCTGCTGCGGACTTGGTGATGCAAAGCCTTGCTTGGGCCTTCAGGCTGTTTTTGGGCAGCTCAGCCAGTGGACCATGTGAGCTTTTCCATATGAGCTAAACTGGAAGACCTCGAGGGCTTGAGCACACATGATCTGTTAATTCAAGATACACTCATTTATTCCTTCCCTAAACCTCTGCAGGAAGATAATGTAGCCCGTTCTTGTATGTCTCTGAGAAAAAAGCATCAGTATTGGTTCAATGTGTACCTCATGTTAACGCAGATGAAATCATTTTTGCCAGCTTTCTGCAGGTATTTCAGAACATGACATAAAGAAAACAGTGTCGGGAAATGAATGAACAGATGGGCCAAATCCTGCTCCTGTTCACTGTGCTGCACCCCAGGGGTGTTTCTCACTTGGTGAATGAGGTGACACTGCAAGCTCTGGGAGCTCAGCTTGGCCAATTTTAGGATCAAGCAAAGCTCACGTTTCCCTCTTAATCAAATAATGTTTCATCTGCCCCTGCAAAGGCTTCATCTGCCCCAACAGCTGGAGGGGAGCAGAAGACTCTGCCGATGCAGCAGCACATCTGCTCAAACACTTCACCATCACAGGCAGCAGCTACTTCCTGTGATGAGATGTGGTGGGATAAGATGCAAAGCCCTTTGTGAGCAGCATCGCATCTTTCATCAGGGTGACGCTGACCACAGCCCTCTGACAGCCCACGCTAACCACAGCACACTCCTGCTTCAGCTTCCTGCCTTGGGCTTGAAGTCAAGAATTGAAGGGCTGACTGCACACACCATGACACGTAAGCAGTGGGGACAGAGCAGAAAACCTGCTGTCTTCTCTCCCCATCTTCTGCATTTCTCTATCTCCTCAGTAAATCTACATACAAGCATTTGCTGCAAGCCATGAAATTCAGACCAAGCCCTGATCAATAGAGCCACCTCTCATAGGCTTTCAGGGTTCCCCAAGAGCTCAGGGAAGACCTTACCACTCTACAACTGCCTGAAAGGATGCTGCAGTGAGGTGGGGGTTGGCCTCTTCCCAGGTAACAGCGATAGGGTGAGACGTGATGGCCTCAAGTTGCACCATGGGAAGTTCAGGTTGGATATTTGGAAGAATTTCTTGTCAGAAAGAGGAGCAAGGCACTGGAACAGACTGCCAAAGGAGGTCACAGAGTCACTGTCCTTGGAGGTGCTCAAGGAACATGGAGATGTGGCACTGAGTGCCATAGGTTAGTGAACATGGTGGGGATGGAGTGAGAGTTGGACTTGGTGAGCTTAGAGGTCTTTTCCAACCCTAATGATTCTGTGACTTTGTTCTTCTCACCTGTTTGTTCACATGTTGCAACCTGTACTACTGATCAATATGTATTTTTAATTATATATTAAGAAGTGGGGGAAAAGAAAGAAAGGAAATTCCCACTGGAGATGTGTGGAAGGAGAACATCTGCTTCTTTAGAGGTGTCTGGACAAGGACCCTTTTCAATGCCACGTGGGATAATGAGAACAGAAGGAAGAACATACACTGGGAGGCAGAGCAGTGTATAAAAGGGGCAGGTCAGTCCTACTACCTGAGTTATGTCTGGGACTTCAGATGTCACTTAGAATTTATCACTGTATTTAGAAGCTGAAGGGAAAAACAATTTTGACTGAGGAATAGGTACAACTGTCTTGTACAGCTGAAGTTTGGGGATAGGTTGGTATCACTCTTCATGCAGAATTATCCCTTCCTTTCCAAATCATTCCTCTGAGCTTTTCTATTGTAAGCAATTACACTACACCACGCCACACAATTAACTAAATTGCTAAAGGAGGGCTGCCATGCTCTTTAGGTCAAAATGAATTTGTTTTGCTTAACATTAGATCCATGCTTTCAATAGTGAACTGGAAATGGATGTTTCCCATTAGCAGTGCATCCATAAATTAAAAGTAATTTCTCTGTCTAATGAGGTCTTCAAAACTCTAAGAGAAAAGGCTGAAAAGAGACATGCAGCAAAATTAACAGGTACAAAGGGCCCACTGAAGAGAGACTACTCACATGCTGCTGCTCTGAGTTACTAAATCAGAGACATCCACATTGCTACAGATTACCTAAAAGCCTACAGAACATAGGTACAGCAGGAGCTGAAGGGAAACATCTCAAGGATAGTTGGTTGTTGTAATGCTTACTGTGCAGTCTGCACATTATTTCTACATGCTACAAACAGCAGCCCACCCTTCCTGCATGTCTCAGAGGAAAATGACAAAGAATTTCCCCTCTGCCATTAGTCAAAATTATGGTATCTGATGAATATTAATTAGCTCCCACTTATTTTTTCCCTGTGACTTCATATTTTCCCACTTCCACAGAAAATCCATTCCTGTCTGCACGATCCTGATAGTTCTGGTTTGAACTAGTGTTGAATTAAGGTAATTTCTAACTGAAATTATCTTTTTCAGTTTACTTAGCTGAAGGAGTCTACTAAAATAGCTTGTGTTTCATATATCCAAAAAGGAAAGAAATGAGCAGATAGCAACATAAATGTTTTTCAACCTAGCTGAGAATTTGAGCATGGCAAGTGCAGAAACAAAAGGGATTTTCCAGGAGCAGACCTTGGTTTCACTGAAGGGCTGAAGTCTCTTCAAACCTGAATGATTCCAAGGGGACAAGACTCCAAAAGAGGACACAGGGGAGCACTGCAGGGCAAAAGGAAGCATTAGAAGGGACCAGAGGGCAAGCAGAGATAAATGAAGGTGCATGTGCAATGTGGGAATCTTCAGGTACACAAGGATAGGGAGTGCTGGGCCCTGGGAAACCAAACTGTGAATATTGGGACACACATAGGTGGGAACTGAGGGCCTCAGGATAGACGTTGTCTTCTAACAGCTACCTGATGAGCTCTATTTCCCCCTAGCCTATGCTTAGATCAGATTCCTTCCTCCTGCCCACACCTTCAAAACCAATCCATTTTTCCCCACGCTCCCTCAAATCCCCTCTGTGTGCCCTCACAACATCTCTGCTCCCTTCACCATCACCTTTAGTACAATGTACATCATGTCCTGCTGCTCTTTAAAAATATCCACTGTCTTGCAGCTGTTTGACCAGCAGTCCCTGAGCTTTTCAAGAGAAATGGGTGTAGCACAACAGAAGAGAAAGAATGAGCACCAGCCCTACAGCCACAGGTGGATACTGGGACTTGATACTGAGTTTTTAACACTGACTTTTCATGCTGTTCCATGCATCTTCTGCCACCGTGTGGCCAATGCAAAGGATGAATGACAAAAAGCCAAAGGCAATGCGTTGATTTACCCTTCTCAGATTTATTCCAACTTTGATGGGTAATGCACTTATCCAGTTCATGATTGCTAGGCATGGACGTCTTGTAACCTGACCACTTTATAATTCATTTAGTACGTCATCACTTCATTTTTTACTTTTGGGAAATGTTTCAAAAACACATACAGTGGAGCCCTTGTGTGGTGGGAGGGAGAAAGAAGCAGTTCATCATTTATTGCCTGAAAGAACTGGTAAAGCTTAATTACAAAAATTGATCTGATACCATTAGAGCAAACCACCTGTTCCATAACACGACGCAACAGATGTCCATATCAGACAGACTGCAGTTGCCAAGAAGCCCTGTTTCTACAAATAAAGCCTTGATGATCACAAGATGCTTAGGAATAACAGTCCACTCAGGAAGCGAGGAAGAGGTGGAGCACGAGATTAAACAAAGCTCCCTCCCCATTTTCTTATGAAATGGCTAAACTGAATTGAACAACACCTATGAAGAAATGTGTTTCTGCTACATTCATGGTGAAAAATGTCCCCCCAAAACACAGTACATGATCACCTCAAGGAGTGTGCTGGCTTGGAGATGGCTCAAAAAGGAGGCTGGTGGCTGAAGACCACAGCTCTTGGCAGCTCCACACTGCTCAGTGGGAGACAGAGCTACGATCACCACATTCTTCATCAGAAAGGCACCTGTATCACTACAATTGTCAATATATTTTGAGTCAGTTCTCCCTTGTGCTAGCCATAGACCTGCACTCTCCAGCTCAGAGTACTGGCAGATTTTTGGCTTGCAGCTGATAAAACTGGGAAGTAAAGCTCATTTCATCAACTAAGCGATGAGTCCCACATTAACCCAAGTGCTTTTACTCTGATCCTGGGAACACAAGGAGACAAGAAGAGCTCAGAAATCTCTAACATGTTCTGAAACACTGATCAGGTTCCTCTGTCCCCCTCCCAGGGTCAATTAACACAGAGATGATTTTGTCATGACCTCTCCCCAACATGTTCCAGGTCGTAGCTTCACCCAGAAGTACAAAGTGGAGCAACCCCAGAGCACGTGAGATGGGTTGTGTGAGAAGCAGGTGTAACCACAGGGGCTTGCTACTTCCGTGTGGTTAATGAAGATCTGCAAAGCTTCACACTTAGTTATGCTGGAGAACCTTTAACCCAAATATTTGGAAAAGAAATAACAGAAGCAATGCATGATGCAGGCTGCTTGAGGAACCCACTGGCTTAGCCTATAGGAAACCTCAAGTGCCTGCCCATGTCTGAGGCTGCTCACAAGCCTTGGAAGACACACTTGACAGAAGCCAGCTCACCTTCAAGCCTGCTGCCATTGCTCATGTTTCACTTCTTTATGTATCCTCCAATACACAGCTTCACATCAGCCTTCACTCTGAAACCCTTTCAACTCCTGATGGAGTAGTGTCTCACTGCAAATGACAGCATAAGTCCAGAGGAACAGAAGCTTTTAAGAGTGCTTCCTAACACCAAGATGTATACATTCAATATTTAGATTAAACGAAGGCAGCGGGTTTGGCATCTGCACCCCATTTATACTTTAGGCATAACAGCATCTTCCTCATACATGAAAGCCAGAAGTGAACAGGACCATGTTTTAGGGTCCAGTCAGACCAGAGCAAATACCTCCCCCAAAAATACGGAAGAATTAAAAATATAACCTAAAAAGAGATTTCCACTGTGGTTGTTCAGTGCCACTCTACAAATTTACCTTCCTGCTACCAGGAGTTGAAAGCTATCTCTGTGTTCATTACCTTCATATGCAGGAAAATCTGGTGGAAAAAATAGTCAGCCTCATCCAGCAGCCAGTGTAAAGATGCTCTAACAAAAATTCCTTCTTCAAGAAAGCCAGAAGAGCAGGCAGAGTGGGAAACTCCTCATCCAAAGCCACCTCTCCTTTCCAATGTGCAGATCTCACTACTTTCCCTTTTCTGTCTACCTAAACCTTTAGAGGTACCTTAGCTATATGAGCTTGGCTTTCCAGGCCAACTCTCAAGCAGCACTGCTTGTAGCAGAGCCCGTCAGATAGGGGTACACAGCTTGTTTAAGAGGAAAGAAGTCACAGATACATGCCAACAGCCCTCAGTTTAAGTAGTGGCACTTTCAACAGTGACTTCCTTTTTCTCAAGAAGGCATCTGGCCTGAGGTAAAACAAGATCCCAGATATATCCATTCTGCTGTTATGCCAAATAAACAAACGTGGTAACTGACATAAAAGACCAAACAACAGGGAGAAACAGATTTCAGATTCTGAAGGCACTTGATTGGAGGAGCACTTCTCATAGTGTGATTAGCCCCAGTTCACCAGAGCCGAGACAAAGCGGCCGGCTGAGAAGGCCAGGCTGAGTGCACAGACAGCGAGAGCTGACCAAGCTCAGAGGAAGGCAGAATACAGTCCCATAAAGCTCCCATAACCTTTGGCTTCCACCTGCTCCCTCTCCCACACGGGCAGAGAGAGAACTGCTCAGAGAGGGCGGAGGTGTCTGAGGTATGTGCAACGTGGTTGTGGTGACGCACCAGCACAGAGCTCTGTCTGCCTCTGCACAGCAGATGACCAGGCTAAGCTTGCAGCCCCAGCAGGCGAGCGGTGTTGAGCACATCATCCCTCGTCAGGTAGCAGCCGCACAGCTGGCGGTACCCCGTGAAGGCTTCCCGCCCATGCAGCACACGCCAGTTATCGATGAACAGCGCCTGCAGGGGAAGAAGAAAGGCCAGCAGAGCAGGGTGAGCGCCGCACCGAGCCAGGAGCCCCTGACGTGACAGGTTGGAGATCCCTCTCTGGAACAGTAGGTAGGGATACACCACCATCCTCTGATAGTTCAACGCTGTCAGACACAGCACATGAGACTACAGGTCGATTTTTGATGTGATCTACTATGTATGTTGCACCTGATGCCAGCAGCTCTGCTGCTAACCATAGTGTAAAACAACACCTAGCAATGTACTTCCAATTTATTTTTATTTATTTTTTTTTTTTGCCAAAAATGTTGGGTCATAGTTCACCAACAAGACAAAATGGCCACCATCAGCCTCTAAGGTCATTTCCACAGACATCCTTGAGAACAGAGATGTGCTGGGGCTTTCTGACATGAATACTTCTGCTTCACTTGCACTTTTGGGGCCCAAGCTGAATATAGACCCTGCAGTAATAACACTTCTTCAAGCAGGCACAGCTGGTAGATGAAAACATATCCTGTAACACCTCTAAGCATACAACTGCAGCTCTAGCTTTTCTAAAACTGCACCCAGCATCAGCCTTTCCAACTCAGGGCAGAGCTTTTATTCTCTTCACACCAAGATGTGCTAAGGCATTTCTGGGACAGTGAGGAGATTCCCAGGCCTCCTGTGATTCACCAGCAATGCTACGATTCAAATATAACCTCAAAACAGAAGTAAATTTGGCGCCCCACTTGTGCTCTTTATGCTTCCATTAAAAGATATTCTGCTTCTGGAAGAAGTCAGAGGCTGAGGACAAACTGCTCCCAGCCTTCCTGCCTCTCGAGGTCCTCATTCAGAGTGACTGGAAAGATCTTTTGAATTAATTACTTCTATCTTGCCTGGAAGCTAATATTCTTTCACAACAGTAAGTACACATACAGACTGGAGAGGCCAGTACTAGAATACAAAGCACACAAAAACAGCTGTGAAGAGCTGCAGTACAAGGAGTGAAACATTAGCTTCAGTGGCAACAAGCTTGCACATCCATAGAAGCATCCTGCTTCCCTGCCCATACCAAACAAACAAGCCTCCAACTGCAAAGTCCTACCTTGCCTGGCTTCAGTTTGACCCACAGTTCATTCTCCGGTCTCCTGAGCTCAGTGGTGAGTGTGCGGTGAGCAGTGTACCAACGATTCACAACATCATAAGGCACAGTGTTGATGACTGCACGGTCATAGTTATTGTATCTAGAAAGAAAGAAAAGATCACTTCTGTGGTCCCATGTGCACAGTGCAGCCACATGTTTCTAGAGGGAATCTCAGGAGCCATAAGATTAGTCAGTATTGAAGGAGGCAACAGTGATGAGGACAGAGGTTATGCAGCAAACATTTGGAGCAAGGAGGAGTTTGCTGTTAAGTCTAACACAGTTTTTGCTGCTTTTCACAGAAGGATGCCCTGCACTTTCTCAGCAGCAGAGAAAAAGGTGAGAATGAAAGCGAAGCCCACCAGCACCGAGATATTAAAAACTTCTTTCCTTCCAAGAAACAAAGCCCACACAATCTAGAAGTTAGCTGTCTGGTCAGCCAGTAGCTTCACACTATTAAGGAAAGGCCAGGATTTAAACGGAGGCAGGCTGCAACAGGTGCACCAGCTACAGACAGGACTAAGGGTTTTTCTGAATAAAATTGCAGTCAGTTAGTGCTAAGCCAAGCTGGAACCTCAAAAGAGCAGCAGTGGTTTTTACACATTCTTGAAAACATTGCACTGCAAAGCCCAAAAGGAAATGCATGGTGTTTTTGTGGTCCCCAGCCCACCCTCCCCGAAACATGTAATGGTTTTCCATCGAAGCTGTCTTCTGGAAAATCACTACAGTCTGCCCAACCCCATCTCCTCCCGTCTTCATTCTGATGTTACCTGATCAGGTAAAGCTCATTGTTCCAGGGATAGACGTTGAGGACCGGCCCAACTCCGATCATGTGGTTGTGACAATCTCCCACATTCTCAATGTACTCATGCTTCAGTGGCACCTTACTTAGCAGCTCAAACTGATCAGGTGCTTGCCGGAGAACCTGCTCCGCTGCATAGAAGCCATCCACCAGCAGTGTACGCCCTCCTGTCCCCTCATGCTTGAGGCAGTGAAACACTTGGATGCTGCACGGGTGAGAGCACAAGGGGAAAGACTTCAGCTGCCTGTCCTGTCAAGAAAATGCACTCCCTGTGGACCCAGACAAACGCAGATAGATGCAACACCTCTCTCTAGTGGTACTTGTTGTGACAAGAGTCTCACAACAATTTATTTCACTAAGACCTGACAGGGAATGAAGACAGCCCATAGAAGCTTCCATATAAGGATACCCCTCCCTAGCAGGAAGCTGTCCAATTCAGCTGAACAGCTTCTGCTCTTTTCTGAAATTTCTGAAGTTCTTTCTTCCCCTTCATCCAAGCACGTCAGACCTTATATTACTAGGAACAGACAGCTAGCAGCTGCCTCCAGTCACATGCTGTCAGTTTTCACAGTGTATCAACTTCACTTATCAGAAAGTTGAAGGTAACCTTTCAGGGCAGCCTTTATCTCCTCATCTTCCTTTGAGGCCTCTTAACCCCACAGCAAGTGATCTGGCAGATGCTCCTAACGACATCCTCAGCAGTACCTTTTCACATGGACTCTAATTGTCCTTTATATCCACAGAAGGATCAGAATAATTACAGCAAGTCAGTCCACAAGTGCAGGAGCACAGGTTGCCCAACCCCTCGTGGCTCTGTGCTTTCAAGGCAATAGTCTCCTCCTGCAGCTCAGGGCAGTAAGTTCTTCCCTGCCTGGTGAGATAACACTGCACACTCTCCCGTGTCTTGGGGATCTTCTCTCCTCTACTCTTTGTAGTAATTTAACCTGAGACTTGTTAGATCTGGTTGATTTTACCCAATGCAGTGGGGAAAGCAGTCATTCAAATAAACACGTCTTTCTTGAAAAACACCTCACTTCCTTTAGGAGCAGGTCAAAGACAGTTTAAAGTGTTTAAAACATTTCAGAATAAGCCTCCAACAGTCTGAGAAAGGATTTCTGGCAGAGATATGTGCTCAGGAAAGCCAGAAATTCATGTTCTACCCGTACAGCCACAGTCTGCAAACATTAATAGTTAGCTCACTAGCCTAGTCTACACTGCCATGGCTTGATACATTTCATTTTGCTGCAGACTAGAATATACCTATCCAAAAGAAAGGTATAGAAATAGCTAATGAGCTCTGCAGTTCTCACAATAAGCAGTTCAATTAAAGTACAACTGTAGGCTGAAGCTCTGATTACTAATTAATTTTTATTTGATTGCTGTGGAGATTCTGTGAGCTCTTGAGCAAGTCAAGCAAGCAGGTAACTGCACAAGCCACAAAAGCACCTGGTTTCTACAATCAGCTGTTCACTGGAAACAAGTAAGCCAACCTGAAGCACTTGGCAGGATTTAAGTTTCATACAGACATGCTACTAGCTACACAGAGCACACTAGAAACTGCTTACTTTGCTCCTGACACCTAGCTGCTTCAGAACAAAAGCTGCCACCCAAACTCTGTGTTAGGTTGGGCACAGGCAAGCAGGTGCCTCCTTGGTAGCACTAAGGTAGCACTTTTCCTGCTTTAAGTGAACTGCTCTGAAATCCATGTTCTGCCAGAACACCTCCATGACTTGGTCCTCATCTGTTCTACCAGGTCTGCCTAACAAAACGTTCCCATTACAATGCTCAGGAACTCATTAGGAACAGCCTCATTAGGAAGAGCTAATCCTACTATAAGACAGGAGGCTTGGATAAGATGACTTCTGGCCTCTGTAGTCCTACAAAATCACCATGCTTCCATTAGTTTCAATCTCAGGGCCTTTTCATGACTTCCATCTTGACTGATATGAAAGCAAACAAACAAAAAAATTAGTAATAATTACGGATGAAATTAAGCCTTCTGTGCTTCAGTGTGAACCAGGATCCGGGCTGCTGCCTCTCTTTCTCCAACTGGGTACAGAACTTGTGGCCCATAGGCTACACTGGAAAAGCAGTCTGCAGATTTGCATTTGGGAAATGTTACAGCTACGAACTTTTTTTTTAAATGTTTAAAGCACAGACAAGTGTAAACTTTGAAGGGCTAGATTAGCCCTTCCTACAGGGCTGAATTACTGCCAAAATACAAATCCCAACCAGTCTGAAGCAGAGCATCTGCAGAGGGCAGATAGGAGGGCAGCACAAAGCTCTGGTGCCGCTCCTCAGCCGGGGAGGACAGAAGCAGATAGTGCAGGTCGTGCCAAGACAGGCTGCTCCCTCCTTCCCCAGAGGCTACCACTAGGAGCACTCTGCCAGTGAAACACAGCACTGATGTGGACAAGGAGGACTTGCCCAGGTCAGCACGATTAAGGTGAAGCTTAAAAACCTCCTTCATTGCCTGCATTCTGGAAGACCTGGGAGTTTCAAATATTGGGCATCTACAGACTACCTCACTTCAAAGGAACCAAGCCGGATTACTGTGTGACTAGCAACACTGCATCACATCAACAGCACTGGAAACAATCAAGTCTAAACTGCATCACTGTGAATCACTCCTGCCTTCTGTGCCGAGTGTCTGTGAACCAGCAACAGCACGTACCCGCAGGGCTCCTGGAAGTAGGTTGTGTCAGTGTGCCGATCCAGAGCCAGTTTTGTGTAGGCAGTGTCGCCCCGGGAGAAATCAGAGGTGAAGTACCACATTCTGCCATAGATGGTCTCCCTGCAAAAGAGGTGGGCAGTTATCATACCCGAGTGCTGCAGGGATCAGTATTGTTGTACAACAGATCCACTCTTGCAATCATCTCACCCATCTCACATAGAGAGCAAGTCTTACTTCTCCTCCGCAAATACAGATCTTCCTTTTACTCCAAAGATGAATCCCAACCAAATCATGGAAAGACTGAGCAACATCAGAAATTACCAGAGTGCAGCTAGCATTTGTTTGTACCCACTGTGGGTACAATTCCTTTCTTTCTTAAAAAAGCCTGGAGTTTCCACCGACCTCTCCCTGTAATGTGCATGGCAGAGTAAGGAGAAGGAAAGGGCTCAAAGAGACAAACAATACTCAAGGGCTACAGGATGAGGGTACAGATCTGGAGGAAAATGTGGGATGGATATTTCTCAGAGCCCTTAATTTCTATTTGCAGTGGCTATTCATCAACAGAAATAGGAATCCTTCCTCTTCTAATGGCCAAAGGCAAGCTAAGATGTTTCTGCAGCTTGGATAAAACTTGAAACTCAAACCCAGGCTTGCCATGTTACTGGTGTGTTTTAAACAAACACAGAAGAAATGTTTCCCAGTATTTTTCTTTAGCAAGAGTTACAAATTGTTTTTGATCTCCCTTGGCTCCCAGGGCCAGGGCTGCCCTCTTAACCTTTCAAGTCACAACAGGAAATCTCCCTCTTTGCAAAGCTCAAGTCTTCCCAGACGGGCTACTTCCTTCAGTTACTCTTCTCTGTGCAGAGTCCCACTATCACAAAAGTCACTGTATGCTCCTGAGGCAGCTCTAACCTAGTAACTCTGGCTGCCCCCCAAAAAAGGAGCCAGATCCCACTGTGCAATACTCCATCTCTGTCCATGTGGCCAGAGACTGCAGAAGACCCAGATCCTCTGTGTGCAGAACATGCAACAGTGCACAATACAAGGGCAGCACCTTTCCATACAAAAAGGAAATAACAGCTTATCATTCCCAGTTCTACAAAGCTGTCCGCAGCCTTCCTGGGGAACTACTGGTTACCTGATTAAACTGATCCTTTCTGCTAAGATTTGTGTGTCCTCTTTGGTGGGAGTGACATTCTCAACAAAAGCAATCCCATACAGAAGGAAGTTTTGCAGGAACTCCTTCAGCCCCTCGTCCGTCTCCAGGAAACTCCGGCAGTCAACAGAGGGGACCTGGGCTTGGCGGTAGATTTCTGCATTCCAGAGGATCCGTGGGTGCATGACCTGCTGCTTCTGCCCCTCGTAGCTGTTCTTCACCAGCCACTGCAGCCCATACCGTGTAACATGTCCATCCGGCCCTGTGACACGTGAGGAGAGGCAGTCATTGCAATGAACAGCCTGCAATCACAGCCAGTGCAACATCAACCTAGGACAGTCCTTCCTCTTTTTATTTTGCCTAACAACATCATATTTTGGCTGGTATCAAGAGAAAAGAATGTATTCGATTTAGGCCACAAGTACTAAAAGTATTGTCAACAACTCCGAATTCAGAGCCAAGAGCTTCTATTTCAGTAGTTTTGCTCTCAAGTGACAGGAAAAGTCCATGGCAAAGTCAAGCACTGATGACTAGATCATAAATGAAGGTACCATAGATGAAAGCAAATTGCAGCAAAAGGAAGAAAGCAGCAGAGAGAATGGACATAAGGTATGAGTTCTGATAAGGAACATCAGTTCAAATAAAGCAGAGTAAAGAAAAAGTGAACCAGTTCTTGATATGTTCACTATTTGCATTCCTGCCACATTCCTGCAGTAAACTACACAGATGCTGGAGATGCACACATCTCTAACCAAGAGGAGAGAGAGAATGTAAGGAGGGGAAGAAACAGACATAAATAAGACTGAGGCATGTTTACAGAAGCAGCTCTACTCAGAACAGCAGTGTTTAAAACCTGCTTACAGCTACGCCTCCTCCCAAAACAGCTCCTGATTTAGAGATAAGGTTTCCTGGGAGAAGATAGCCTTAGGAGTGGGATCTATCAACCAGCCCCACTCCAACCAGGGCTGCTCATTGACAGACAGGGGGCAGGTGCTTTGGAACTCACACGTGAGGAAAAGCGTGGTCTCATCCACTCGGACAGCCTTGGGCTTGATGCTGAGGTCCACACTGGCCGTGTCCAAGCTGCGCTGGTTTGTCTTGGCGTTGTAGCAGGAAGCTGAGCGGCAGTGGTCCCGCAGCCAGACGAAATCAAAGCGCATCAAGGTGTTTGCATACCTGAGCTCTGCCAAAAGTCACGGGCACAGAAGATGCATTGGTGTGAACAGTATGGAAAAAAAAAAAGCCACAAAGAGCCTACAGGTTATGACCCACTTATAGGAGATGCAGAGCCTGTTCGACTTAGCAGCTGTTTGTGCAAGTTAGCTTATCGCGTGATGACCAGGCAAAAGATCTCAAGCAAAGAGCATCACTGGCAGTGACTTTGCCATGGTCTCCTGTCTTACTACGTCCACAGTCTCATCCTGCAACAGGAAGCAGCGTGGTTAACAAACATGCCTACGCCTACCTTCTCTCTTCGATGGATGGTAAATTCAGAGCTACGCAGCAGCTGCTGTACGTAAGTACATAACAAGGTTCCCCGTGCCCATGTAGCTGCAGATCTCATTGCACAAGCACAGGTAAGAACCAGCCAAATATTCTAAACTACACACACATTACAAACAACATCACGACCTCTAATTCCCACTTAGCATTCAAGTCCTCGCCTTCTTGCTCCCTCCAGAGAAAGCTTAGGAACACCGAAAGTCCTTTAGAGGGAAATCAGAGCTGGCACAGGTAGTAGGAGAGCCCTTCCTGCCCATCTTTGAAATCCAATATCTATGCGGTAAAACAATATTCTTTCTTAGAGGACCACTATGTTGAATAAAATATTAAGCAATTCCCTTTTGAGACAGGATTACAAGAGACTCTAGGAGTAGCAACGCCTTCTAACCAGCCTCAGCAGACATCACAAGGCAGAGGCTGGGCAGCTGCAGGTGACAAAGACCATGGGGAAATGTGTCTCAGTTATTAAGCGGAGTCCAAAAAAAAAAAAAAACACCCACCCCCCAAAAAACAAAGGACAAATTGACCTCAGACTGCATTTATAACTTTTACTTCACACACAGGCACTCATTCTTTGCTTTTCCCTTCAGCATTCTCACAGGGAGAAGCAACTTGCACCAAAAAGGTCTGCTCATGCCACCCAGACACACAAACAGGTTGCCTACAAGCCTGCTCTCACCTACTCTGTTTCAAAGATTCGTGTTTTAAGGAAAACCTGCAAGTGAGGACAAGGCAGAGAGCTGGGACATACGCTGAACCAGCCATCCCATCTGCAAGACATAATGAACAACTGGCAGACAGGGCAAGGTTCAGCTGCAAGGTTCAGGAATCACTTACTTTTCAAGTTAGCACTGCCTCACTTATTATAAAAGACTTACTGCCAGCAGACAAACCTGCTGCATCCTGCCTTTGGTAATTCCCAAAGGGAACACAAAACACCAATTCCAGCACACATCTCTTTAAAAAACAAGGGTTGTTTCAGAAGGGAATCACTACTGGAGAAACAAACTCAGGAAAAATCTTGCTCCTCTTCCCCCAGAGACCCAAAAACAGGCTTAAAAGCACACACCTACCTAAATGATCACCGTGTAACTGCCAGGCACAGCTGAGGGACTCTGGGGCTGTGTGATGCCAGCGAGCCACAGCAGCAGTGAAGGTCCTCCTGCCGCAGGACAGCCCCAGCCAGTGACGTCTGGTGTGTTGGCAAGGCACGCTGAGCAGGCACGCCAGCCTCCGGCACCACATCCTGAACAGCCAGGAGAAGGAGGAGAACAAAGTGAGTCAGCTGTACTGCTGTTCTGGGTAAAAACATGTAGAGCATGCAGCCAACTCCATGCAACAGGTGCTGTACCCTTGCGTAGGTCAGCTACAGTGAACACTTTCGTAGACACCACTGCTACCAAAGACGATGAAGACAGCAAGTGAAAACTCCTAAAAACCCCTAAAACTGAGTGCAATGGAAACAGCAGGGAATTCAGCATTAGAGCAGGTGATGAATTTCTAAAACAAATAAGCTAATCCAATCACAGAACATCAGTTGGAAATAGGAGGAGAAACAAGGACATCTTATTTTGTGATCCACATTAACTCCAGCAGAAAATTGCCCTGAGGAGAAACAGATAAATCCTGAGATTGACCAGGCAAAGCACTTCCAGAAGAGACAGCTGGGTGTTTGAAGCCCTTGACAAAACACTGGTAAAACCTCATCTGCAGCAAGACTTGTCCTTTCTCCGGTCTTCCCCAGGCTGAATTCCCCCTTGCTGGACAGAGCTGTAATCCTCAGGGAAACGGAGAAAAGTGACCTTGGTTAGGAAAGCAAGTAATAGAGGAATCAAGTAATCAGGTCAGTTCTAGAAAAAGTATGCAGAACAATAAGGAGGAAGAGCTTCTACTGCCAAAGGACACAGCAAGCATGGAAGAGTAACCGGCCATGGTTAACTTTTGACCAGAGATGAGAAAGTGAATTCCAGAGGTTGGTTCATAACAACACTTCAGGACGACGAACAAAAGCAAAATCCTGCAAGTTTAAAGACATGAAGCCAAAGCCACACTAAGCGCTCTGTCGTGCTCATCAAGTTCTGGAGGTCAGGCCTAAATCCAGCAGAATTTTAACAATGCTTTGATCTGAAGCACGTTGAAATGCAGTATCACTGAACAAGACACAGGCACAGAAAGAATTTCTTATCCTGCTTTTCTGATTTGCCTTCATTTTCTTATCTGAAGCGTACAGACGTTGGTGCCTTGGCTGTCTAACCTGCTCCTCCACTTCATAGGTGACTTAGTGCAGAAATGGTGAAAGTTAATAAGAACAGTAAAAACAGCACAGAGGGGGATATTCCCAGAAAATTTGCTGAGTATGAAAAAAGTAGACTGTCAATTCCAGAGGAAAAAAAAGCAGAAACTGTTTTATAATGATATAAGATAATGAACTGTTTTATAAAGATAAAGATGCAGGTCACTGAGCTGTGAAAGGTGCTTGGCTTCAGCCTGCGTACCACTCACTGACAGTTTCAGAGCTGCAGAAAAACGGTTCTGATTTCTGTGGCTGCTAAAATGCAATATGCCATCCTCAGCAGGCTGCATGGAATCTGGCTGTCTTGCAAATCACCTGGATTCAGGTTAGAAGCTCTGTTTTGCTCTGCATGCCAGGCAGAGGAGTGCTGGCTGCTCCTTGCTTTCTGCCTGACACCTGCAGACAGCGAGATCTCTGCTAGCTGATCCTGTGCCCTGCAAAGCTCCTGGATCTCCTTCTAGATGCTGACTGAGCTGCAGCATCCTGAGAATCTCCAGCATCTTCACTGCAGACAAACTGTACACCAGAAAGTCAGGTTTTGCAGAAATAATTTGGCATCTAATTGTGCCAATGTTAAGTTTTGGGAGAATGCTTTACAAACTGAATATAGGAAAAGGAATTAGCCAAATTTGATACATAATGACTAAGTGAAGGAAATCTGCAAGAGGACCTACAGAGAACCAGGAGTAACCAATAAAGATCGTCGGGTTTACAAAGTTTAAAGAACTGAGTTAACTCACCAAACCAAGTGTCAACACTCATATTACTTGAAGACTGCTTTGTGAAAGAAGGATGACTCACTCCATTTAGGCTTTTGAATCTCAAGAATATCCACCAGTTGAGAGAGGATTAAAAAAAAAAAACAACCTTGTTTGCACACAGCTGATATCTCCTCGAACAGGACACAAAACTGATAGGAAAAGTTCATCCATAAATCCATTTAGAAAGAGGCCTCTGCCTGGGGCAGCTCCAGCCATAGTTATCTCTTTCTGCACATGTTCTTTTTTATCTCTGTCTTCTTCCAGTATCAAAGCTTACCAGAGAATAAACACAGGTAATGGTAAGTGACCCAGATATTTAATCTAATCACAGAGACCTCTTGCTTCTCTGCTGTTCTTCATGGAAGCAGACACCAGAAACAGCTGAGAGAAGCCATAAATTAAACCTTTCCAAAAGACATTAGAACTAAGAGCACATTAAAAAATTTGTAGAATTAGGGAGCATTTATACATTGCCTTTGAGCTTGTTCAACAAAAGCTAACAACACTCTCCTGGCTGGAATTAGTTACATGAACAGATAATTCTCTCCTCCAGTCCTGCTGCACTTCTGATCTTTATGTTGCCTATGTCACACATACCTTACCTGAGTACCTGTGAATTTAGCAGCTGCAAGGTCCCAAGACCAGATTTCCCTTCAAATTCACAAAGAACAGGCAGGAGGAAGGAGAGGACACTAAACTACCCTTCACGTGAAGGCAAGCTGACTTTGAGATAGGAGAGAGCTTCAATTTCCAACCCTGCCCCTCTGCCAAAGGGAGACGAGACCCCATGCAGACATTATACCCAAAAATATTTGTCTCAACTTGTCCAAGAATCCACCAGCTGGTGAATGAGAGACAGGAGCACGCACAGAACCCACGGCAGAGCTGAGCAGAGCTGCAGGCAAGGCAGAAAACTCAAACGTACTGTGATCAGAAGTACAGCACAGGGCTCTGGGGAGAGTAAAGATGAGAGAAGTGAGAGCAGGAGGAAGGAAGAGCGGGCCTCGTCTGTCCAGCAGGTCTCTGACCACAGGGACAGCCCGACCTGCCGTGGTTTCACCGCTGCAATCAGCATCTGCAGTAACGAGCTGCGCTTTTCAAAGCTCTTAGATAAAGAGCTGCAACTCCGCGTTGTGCAAACAGATACACCGAGCTGAAAACAAGCAGTAGCCAAACATTCTCATATAAATACGTATCTAAGGGGGAAAAAGAAAAAAAATAGAAAGGATCCACACCAACCCACAGCCTGCACGCCGCTCTCAGCAAAGCGCTTCCAGGAGGAGGACGGCGGCCTGCAGCTGCCACATCTCTCATTTCTACCTTCTTTGGAAGACGAACCCAAACCCCACGCGGCCACCGATCACCGAGGCAGGAGAAGAGCACCAACCCCAGCCCAGCCCCGCAGCAAAGCCCCTCGCAGAACGGCGCGGGGACGGCCGCAGAGAGCGGAACCCTGTTACCGAATCGCTCCGCGTGCCTCAGCGGTACCTGGGGACGCGGCCGGGCGGAGCTGCGCGTTGTGCCTGCGGGGCTCCGCGCTGCTCCCCGCTGCTACGCGCAGCGCCGCGTTCGACGCCAACAGCCGGAGAAAGCGAGGCGATAAATAGGTGGGAGGCCGGGGTGCAGAGCGCCGCGCACCATAGAGAGCTAGGAAGACCCGAGAGCAAAAAGCCTCCGGGCACAGAGAGGAGAGGGCTGTGATAGAAAGGCTCCCGCCATAGAGCGAGCCTGAAGTGCGGAGAGCGCCCCTGGCGGGGGCGGAGAGAACAACAGAGCGCTCCGCAGAGGGACCATAGAGATGAGCGTTGCGGGATAGACAGTCACCGCAGGCCGCTGAACGCGCGTGCGCAGTGCTCTGAGTCGGTCCGACGGCGCTGGGTTCCGAGGCTGCGGGTTGGGCTCGCGGTCGGAGCTGTGGGCGGGGTAGAGGCCCAGCTTTTGGGGGTAACACCTGCACATGTTCACACTGAGAAGCAACGGCTCGCGTGCGGGGCGCTTAGGGAAGTGCGAGGCAGGCGGCGGTGCCGGTCCGGCCGCTGGAGGGCCGCCTCGTCCCACCGATAGCGGCCGCCGGACCCTTCTGTCCTGCCGCGCAGCAGCTCGTGAGGGCGGGCTGCGATGCTGAGCGCTTCGGCTGCTCTCCTCACGGAGCCTCTCTGCACTGCGGGCCCGCAGGCGGCACACAGCGGCAGGGTGGTGGCACCGGAGCTGCCGAGCTTGTTTCTATCCGGGATGTCACTTCGCGGGACAGCACGTGGTTTCAGCAGCGGTGGCGCAGCCCGCTGTACCGCACAGCCCTGTCCGAACATGGGACGCAGCCTGAGCAGCGCTGACCCCTGGCGCCGTATCCACACTTGCATGGATTTTCACCCATGGCTTTCCAAAATTAAGGCATTCCGAGCCTTCTTTCTTCCGTGCCACGCCTGAGTGATTGCATATCACCACAGCTCAGTTCTCCAAGGTTTTTTTGTGGGTTGGAAGTTTTTGGGTTTTTTTCTCCCCTTCAGGAAAGCAATAGGGAAAGCATCTGGAACAGGCAGAGTAGCTGGCGAGGCTCTGCTGCTTCCCAATAGCTCAGTGCAGCTCCCAGAGGAGATAAACGAATTAGTCAGTCACTGAGCTCACAGCAGAGGCATCTCAGCCTCCGTGAGAATTTGTCACTGGCTCTTCCTGGGCTGCTGGGTACCCAGAAGAAGGGGAGAGATCAGGGATTTGGGGGCATACCCTTCCTGTACTGGCTGATGGGGTAGACAGCAACACTGCAAGGTCATGGGGTTGTTCTTCACCTCAAAGAACGAGGGTGGCATGGAGCTCACCAGTGCTTATAGTCCCACCTGATTCCCACTGCACAGGAGTTCGTATGCTGAGAAAGGGGGCACCAGGGAGCTTTCTAGGGATTTCCCTGGGAGGTTCAGGAGCTGGGAATTTTCCCCAGTTTCCACCGCTCCTTGCAGCAATGCCTCTTGCTCACATGCTCCTCCCAGGGTCATAAGTGGTTTTTAAAAAAAGCAACAGCCCACACAATGCTCTTCCCTTCTCCAGCCGGGTGCTGCTGATGAGATGCCGTGTCCGGTCCTGAGGGTACAGAATTAGCCCTCCACGTGGGAAAGGCTCTGCCAATCCTGGCCACCAGCTTCAACACACCAGTGCTGCGAGGTCAGCAGCACGTCACTGCTATGCATCCTACAGATGCATCCTCCAGTCCCTTCTTTGACTTGTGTGAGACATCGCTATTCCTTCTCTGCTTGCGGGATTTCTTGGAGGTCACATTGCTGGTGCTGATGTCAAATGGTGTTTTCCTTGACGTGCAGAGCACATGCAGGTTTAATCTTTAGGCATAGCTTTGCACTGACAAAAATTGAAGGATATTTCCGCAGGTCCGGACAAGGAATTAACGTTTTACAGGAAACACAGCAGTTTCCACACAAGCTGCAAGAACAAAAAAGTCTGAGTAAATTGGGGATATTCCTGGAAGTGGTTATTGGAACAAAAATAGTGAAAAGTACCAGTGTGTGTGTAGGCATTGTGTCATTCTGATGTGCAACCATCCAACCTGAACATCCAGCCCAGCTAAACCCATTACCGCCTTAATGCCATAATGTGATGGGAAGCACAGCAATGACAAATGAGTATTAAAGTCCTGGGCAAATGCAGCAGCTATGAACACAGAAACCAAGGAAAAAATCTGCTTACCCTTGGAAGGCCACAGATATAGAGTGATCTCCAGCAAAATACCTTATTTCCACTGCCAGCCCTTAAATGATGTCTGGGAAGGAGCGGATCTTGGCTTTCCACCCCTTCTGGTCACTCACATACATTGCATGCACCTGAGCTCCCCTGGGTTGGCCCTGCCTTCCCACCAGGTGTTCAATCACTGTTTCTAGCTGTGACTTAGCATTTCTGCTACACCTCTCAGGAGCACAACTCAACCCAGCCAAAATGGCCACATTAACCCAACACAAGTGACACAACCTACCCCAACACAAGTTGAATGGTGCAACCAAATACAACCCAATCAAACAGTGTGTATCAAAAGTGATACAACCTGAGCCAGCCTGAGTGATATAGCCCAGCCCAGCTTAACAAAACCATATACAGCACAGTATGATCCAGGAGGACCTTTTAGAAAGGTCAAGGTGAGAAGGATCTATGGACTGTAGCTCCCTGTGCTGCAAGGCTGTTGCAATAAGCAGCATTAAGAGCAGAACAACTCATATCAACTGCACCTCTACACTGGTTGTGAATGGCTGAAAGGTGGCTGTGTGTTGAAGACATGAGAATCCGTGTGGATTTTCTAATAATTTAAGCTAATTTAAGCCTCTGTCTCCTCCTAATTCTCCTTTTCCATGGATGAAGTCACCTCCAAATGTCTGTCTCTTGCAGTGATGCTGGACAGTGGGTTTCAAGGTGACTGAAGGACCAGCCAAAGGGAATCCTCTTGGGAACTGCAGTCAGGGCAGAGAGCTGATCTGCCCAGTCCCCAGGAATGCTTCATGTTCCCATGGAGACATAAATAAATAATTATTTATTTGACTTGTTTCAATCTTTTAAAAGTTAATCTAATCCCCTGCCTCCTTTTTTTTTTCTTGGTTATTCAGAGGAAGGAAGGAAGCCCAAACTCGGATGTTTATTTGTTCTGTCCTGGCCGATGTTCCCTTGGTCGTGCTCCAGTGGCTGATAAACTGGCAGGGAAGCAGAGCGTGGAGCACGGCAGAGCCTGGGAAAGGCCGGGACCCCGCTTCCCCTGCCCTTACGTCACGGTTTCTCTCTGATTAGCTTGGCCTGCGGGCTGCCAGCTGCCTTCACTCCCTTGTCTCCTCCATGCCGCCTGTGCTTGTCATCATGTCCCCATACCTGAGATGTGGGTGGGAAGCATGGGAAGGCAGCACGAGGCTGGACCAGCAGGATGGTGGCGGGACGCCTGGTAGGACTAGGGTGGAGATCAAGAAGTGCTG